ACACAAGCACTAAATAAGAAGGGAAATGCTGTTATAGATGTGGGATTCTGGCACATGCTCATTCATTCCTGGGCACATATCTATGCCCCAGAGAGTTTCTCAATGATGTCTGTGCATTTCCCACTTGAGAGAAGGGGCACTCTGTACGCAATCATAACTTCTCCCTTGTACCAAAACTGATACCTAAGAGGAAAGGGAAGTGATAATTTCATGCTTTATCTGCCAGAGGTTTTACATTAATTACATACATACATAAACTCGCTTAAATGTTCGTAATAACCCTATACCAGAACGATTATTGCATGGAGCCTTAGAGACTCAGAGAGATTAAGTCATTTGCCCAAGATCACATAACCATTAAATGGCAGTAAGGGTATTTGACTCCAGGTCTGTCCTGACTTCGAAGCCGGCACCATGATACCACCTAACAGCACTTCACCACTTCCCGCAGTAGAGCTGGATCCTTACGAAAGCCTGTGCACGCCCTTTTCTTTTCTCTGCTTTGTAGATATCATTTGCATCCCCTAGCTTAATGCTTTGCTCTCCATTAAAATACAAATCCCCCCTGGGGAGAAGTAAAGCTCTAAGTTGTTGTCAGTCATTTATGCCTCAGTTGGAATGAGTTTTAGATTCTTCCTCAGGAATAAATTTTAATTTTATGGGGAGAAGGACACTGAAAGCTTGAGGGAAGGGTAAAAAGACAGAGAGAGGCCTGGTAATGAAAAGGCAGCCCCCTCTCAGTTTCACAGTCCTAGCTAGTCTGAGGCATGTGCTTTTCAGATTCTTAAATACTATTTCCGCACCTCTGTACTACAGTCGCTGTCCCCTTAACCGTGGCTTTGCTTCCTGTGGTCTCAGTTATCCACGGTCAGCTGTGCGGCAGAGGCAGACGATCCCCCTTTTGACTTAGGGTCAGGTCAGTAGTAGCTGAACGCTACATTACAATGCGAATGTCCCGCACCTCACTTCAACTCATCATGAAAACATTTTATCATCTCTCATCATCACAAGAAGAATGAGTACAGCACAATAAGAGATTTTGAGAGAGAGGGACTACATTCACATAACATGTATTAGTGTATTGTTATAATTGTATTATTAGTTATTGTTGTTAATCTTTTACTGACCCTAGTTTAGAAGTTAAACTCTATCACAGGTATGCACGTGTGGGAAAAAATAAAGTATATATGGAATTTGCTTATCCGTGGTTTTAGGCATCCACTGGGAGTCTTGGCACATATCCCCCATGGATAAGGGCAGACTTCTGTACTTCATATGTAGACTCATTTCTGGGTCTGTTACCCCAGTTATCTGGGGCTAGAGCTGTGGGTGTGGTCTGATCTAAGGTGACCTTAGAGTGCATACTGACCCAAACCCAGCATGGTCAGCAGGAGGCAGCCAGCCAGGGCTGCAGTCTTGAGCCTGCAGTTTCTGGCCTTAAGTACAAGTCCCAGCTTATTCTCTTGAGAATTAAACCCTGATGTGCATATTTAAATCTGAGAGCAGATGGAGACCCAAGAACTTGTTGGAAAGACTCAGAGGAGTCCCTTCTGCCCTGTCTGAATCTATTTGCCAAAATAAATGACACGTATCAGGACAGGGCATTGGTCCAAGCCCATTGAAATTCTGCTAGCAGTCCAAACAGTGATGGTGTTTCAGATTGATTCTGTGAAATGATCAGAGCTCGGAAGAGAGAAATGATGTGTGAGCATCTGGCTGCCACAGCCTACTGATGGGGACAGTCCCATGGGCGGGCCTGGGGTAGGGGGGCAGCCTTAAGGACCCCCTAGGACATCTGCCACTGGGAAACAGGGAAAGAGCCACACACTAGCAGCAGGCAGTATGGTTTGAGTCCCATGTTGTTTTCCTTTCCAGCTATGTGATCAATACGAGTCTTTCCCCTTCTTTAGGCTTCCTTTTTCCCCCATGCACAAAACAGAACCTAGTGGAAATGGTCTCTAAGGGGCCTTCCTGCTCGAACATTCTGTGACTTCTCTGACACTGATTTGATTTCTTTTTCTCTGTAGTGGGAGAGGCCCACCCACCCACCTGCTTCTCTGTAACTGCCATGTTCTCACACTGACCTCTGCTGGTCATTATGAAAAGTGCCATCCATAGCTGCTTTGGAAGAAAACAACAGAAAAGCAGTTCATCATCAATTTAGTATTAAGCTTCAGCAGTACACTGGGCAGTGCGACAGAAGCCCTGTTCATTGGCAATAAGGGAAAAAAGTCATACGCTGTAACCACACAGTTAGCATATCTAGAGATGGCTGATGACCCACAAAAGAAACTGTGTCTCACATTTATTCTCTTTGCCATCTTCATTTGTTCACGGTGCTCTGTGCCACTGTATGAAAGGACCTCAATGGGTGGGAAGACTCCTTGTCCCATATCCTATGGCTTCAGGCTCCAGAAGGGTCTGGCACCCTGCTAAGGACGCAGTGACTCAAAGGCCTCGAAACATCCTCACAGGCCCTTCTGGCCCTTATGTCAATCTCAGAAGTTTCTAGCTGGGGCCAGCCCAGACATGCATGTTCCTCTGAGGGGTGCCATTTCCAGTGCCCCTTTGGAAAAAAATTAGAATTCATGAGTTCTTTAGGAGACTCACTTTAAGCTGTCTGGCTGGAACAGAGGAGTTGGCTCTGCAGCTGGGGCAGATTCAGCATGTCTTCCCAGCCAAGAGAACAGGAGCAGGCCATGGAACCTGCCTTTTCTGGTGGGTATCTGATTTCCTGTGAAGTCCAGCCCTAGAATTGCCTCAGTCCAAAGCCTTCCTGCTTACTCTTGCTGAGCACGTGTTCACAAAGGCAAGAGACCAGAGCTGGAGCGTGCCAGCCCATGTGTCCACGCCAGGCAGTGCTCAGGCTCTAGTGATGTGACCAAGATGGAAACTGGGCCACAGCAGAATGTGGTCTCTCAGTTCAATGGTTTGTTGTGCTCTCCACCTCCCCTCCCTTGATGTGTGAAAGCTTCGGGCAGGGCTTAGATTTGGGCCAAGCGTTCAGTGCCCTGACTGCATCCTCTCTGCTAGTAATGACATGGCCCTGCCAAGCCCATCCTGCCCCCACACTCCCACCCCCACCCCATCCCCTCCTCCCAACAGCTGGTTCTTATCTGTCTCCCTTGTTCCAGCCTCAGGCAAGCTGCCCTGGCCTCATGCTGACACACACATGTTCTCCTGAATGCTCGTTGATGAGTTTCAGCCCTAAAACACTGCCTTCCTCCATCCCACACTCACCCTGAAACCTCTGAGGGTTCTGATTTCCTTCTACATCAAGTCTTCCACTTTTCCGCCTTGCCTCCCAGGCCCACTTCAGTTGGGGCACACTCAGCCTTTCCAGGGTGGCCCATGACTCCCCAAGCTGTGGACAGAATGTAAGCATTCCACCAACCCTCCATGGCCAACCCTTTCTTTGTGTTCCAGACCCGTGCTGTTCACTGTGGTTCTGTGTACATCAGTCTTGAAGGCTGGGCCCACATTTTAGACTTCTTCATTAATCAACAACACTTCAGCACTCGTTTTTACAAAGCTTCTTCTTTTTCTTTTTAGTTTCATATATAAGAGAAAATTACAAGAGTAAGAAACAACAGAATCATTGTAAACAAATTCCAATGATGGGAGGTAAAAGCATAAAAAGTGAGAGTTCATGTGCCACCCACCATTCCCAGAAATAAGCCCATTAAACAGTCTACAGCTTAGCACCCTTTGTAGGCTGCATGCTGGGTGTTGAAGGTGGAGCGGTAGTGGGTGGTAACAGCATCTCCTCAGGCAGACCATCTTTTACTTTTCTGCAAGAGTCCTAGGTCTTTGTGGGTCAGACTGACACTGGAAATTCTACTGCAAATACCCCGCACCGTTGGTGGCCACCTGAGTGTCCAGTACATGCCTCTAACCACTGCTGCAGAAAGCATCTGCCCTCTTTTCAGCCTTTTAAAAAGTAAACTTTGAAGGTGAGAACTCTAAAGGGCATATTTAATGGGCTTTTCTCAGAGTTTTCACAGATCTGTAGGAAATTGCAGGCAGTCAGGAAAGGGGCCAAGAGGTGGAGATGAGAAACATGAAAATAGGCTTTCTACATGTTACGGTGTTGTGTGCTCTGAGAGATAATGCACATTACTAGCGATTTTCACTTTTCTGTCAAAAAAAAAAATTCAGGCACTACTCTGACTTGTTCTAAATGATAGACTAGCCTGCCTGTGTTGTACCCGCTGGAGTTAATTCTATCTCAGTTAGCTTTGAAATGTCAGCCTGAACTCTCAGACTTAATTGTTACAGACACTTTATAACCAGAGCCTTCAGAATCCTCAGGCTGCTCCCTCTTGCTATCATAATTGATACTTAACGGAAATTATCAGGCTTCTTGGATTTTACACATTCAACTCTGTAAAGATGGTGAAGGATGAAGAGGAGAGGGCTGGGGAAGGAGCAAATAAACTGTGTGTGTGTGTGTGTGTGTGTGTGTGTCCCTGTAAGCACCTGTTTCCAGTTGCAATGATAGGGTCCTGGGGTCCTTGGTCAGCCTGTTTCTGAATTCTTCCCTTTCTGGACCCTTGAGCAGTGTTCTGAAGGCACAACCATTTCTGGACTTCACTGTAAGCATGTGGTTGGCCATTTGGACGTGAGTTATAAAATGTCATGATGCTCTCCAGTGTTCTGTTCTTTCACTATTTTGACAATCTGATGGATGGCCTGGCATTAACTAGGAAAAGGACAATATTATCCAGCCTGAATAACTAATCTCCTAAGAAGCACAGAGTTGAAGGGTCTTGGTGCACATGAATCTTATTAAATGTGCTTATAAAATACATTTTATCCAAATAAGCTTAGCAGCCTCTAAAATAGCCTTTTCTGATCCTTGTCTGGAACTTTGGCATGCTTCACAGATCTCTAAGCCAAAATGATTTTGTAAAGTGATGACAGTGTTCTTTGTGCCTGGGAAAATGGGAAGTGTTGATGTTAAGTCCTCTATTGATTAATTGTACTCCTGTCCATCTTAGGGGCAACCGGGACCAATTGGAATTCAAGGTCCAACAGGTCCTCAAGGAATTCCTGGCCCTAGTGGTTTATCAGGGTTGAAAGGGGAAAGGGGCTCCCCAGGCCCTCTGGGATCATATGGACCAAAAGGAGATAAGGTAAGAGCACCCAAGTTTGAATTTCCTTTTGACTCATGGGCCACATGTGTGAAGGTGAAAGGTTCCAGATCTCCTTTCTGTTCGTTTGTGAGAACAATACTAATCCTGAATACCTTGGTGCCAGGCTACATACTTGAATAAGAAACAGGCTGGGTTATGTGTGCTGCTATGATCAGCCCGTTTCTGGAGAGACTTCCACAGCAAACAAGCTGTAAAGTACATGTTTTAGCTACTTGCTAAACAAGTGGGTTCACTGTGGTTGGAAAGCCATGTGGGCTTGGGCCAGAAGCCCAATCAGCTGAGCAATAGAGGTCACGAATACAAGCAAGACTGGGAAGCAATCTGGGCTACAAATACAGGGAAAGAGGTGCAAGAAAGGAGACTGATCATGTCTCAGTGGCGGCTGGCTCAATTTAGCAGCTCAGGTTGTTTCCTGTTGATTTTAATCACCTCCTCCTCACCCCATTGGTAAGGGAAGGAGTCCCACCCAAAGACGTGACACCTGCCACAAGACAGAAGAGATGGACAACAAGTTTATTGATCATATACTCTTACAGCACAGGGAAAGAGGATACCACACACCACACAGGGCCACACAAGGCTTGCACTCCGGAGCAGCATGAACCAGAAGGGGCTATAGGAGGCAGACTTTGTAGTGTCAAGGAGGTGAAGTGCCCCTTGGTTCCTGAGGGAGGGTGTGGTTGGCTTGTTTGAATAATTCAGTGGGCCAGCAGGGAATAGAAATAAAAAACTGTATATGGTCTGTTTGATAAGGAGACCTTATCTCTAGGAGCAGAATGGAGAGAGGAACTTGCATTTGAGGCCCTCCTGGTTTTCCTGCATGTCAAGGCAGCATGTAATACTGAGCCTTAATTTTAGATCTTAACCACATTACCTAAGAGAAGAACACAGACATGTCTGAGACCTTTGGTAGAGGCATGTGGTCACTTGGAACTGGAGTGGGAAGCAAGGTCATATAATGTGGAGAGGGAAGTACAAAACACTTCTTAACAACTTAGGTCCTGAATCACATGTATAAGCCCATTGGAGAGCAATTGGATTGTCTCTTAACATTCTTCTCCTTTCTCCTTTTTTAGGGGCCCATGGGAGTTCCTGGTTTTCTTGGCATCAATGGGATTCCGGTGAGTGTGTCCACAGAGGCATTTTTGATACCATCTCTAGGTTCTCCCTCATAGCTCAAGCACTTTGGCCTTAGCAACACCTGTCTCATGCAAGCATGCTCAGTCAAGTGTTGAGATGTGCATGGTAAGGTTCGTAGGGCTGTGGTTACACACAGTTTCCCTGGGATTCAGTTACAGACAGCACTAAATCAGATGGTTGGGGGGTGCAGGGACATGTGCGGGCATGAGAAATCATCAGAATCTGAGCCAAAATGAGTTTGGTCTTGTGTGTTGAGGAGAGCTTTAATCAGAGGTGAGGAACTGGTTCTGAAGTGTGGAGACAGTGCCACATTAGAGCATATGCATACTCATTATAAGAAAATTAAGAAAGGACATGAAATTAGATAGAAAAATCCTTAGCGATTACTTGACACATTTCATTTCAGTAATTTGTTCTCTTCAGCCTTATTTCTGGGTGAATTTCCCTTTGGTTTTTACAAAGCAAGTACTCCAGAGATGGCTTGGAGGCAGCCTCTTCCATTCATTCTGAGAACCTGGCTTTGCTGGAGCTAAGTGGAGAGTTTGGAGCTTGCAGACATCTCCATTTCCTATTCCATCCAGCCCAATCCCTTAGTTTCTTCATTTTTGCCCTATATGTCTACTAAGTCCACCACTGAAGAGTCCATAACATTTGGCCAGCCTTTAAAATATAGTATTTGGAACTTGATGCTGTCAGTTTTTGGTTGTGTCGTTTGGCACTTCTCCATATATTTCATCGTTAGCCTGGGCTGTGTTTGTCTACAGCAGTGTTTTTCAATCTTGTGTAAGAGATTGGTTTCAAATCTTGTGCAGAAGCTCAGCATATAGAACTGGAAAAAGTGGAGCTCTTTCACTTGAAGGAGTTCCTGGAGCCTGCTTTTATCCTTCCAACAACCTCTGAGGGGTTCTTCTAAACCGTATCAGAGCACAGCTTGGTAAACCCTAGACTTAACAGCTTCTTATATCATACTGCATAATGATCTAGTATCAGGCAAGGGAGCTTGAATCTCTTTGTACCAATCTATAGGTATTTCATGAGCACTGATATATGTTAGCACTACTATGGGGATACAGAAAGAGCATATGACACAGTCATCTGATTCATTTTTCTCCTCAGATCTAGTATACATTTGTGGGTTTGGAGGATATGAGGTTCACTTACCTCATGTTTATTACATGTATCAACAAATAGGTGTCAGATTTCTGCTTTTTATTTAACTGCAGGGTCCACCGAATACTCAGAAGTGGCCCGGTGGGGAAGTTAAGTGGATGGGGTTGGCCATCTTTTTATGATGTCCCCTGGCATTTTCTAATGGCTATATTCCTTTGACCACTCTATCCAGAGTCTCCATTCTAGAAACAAGAGAGTGAGGTGCACTAGCAAACTGCAGACCACCTTGTCCATTCATCCTGGGGAGCTGGCTTCACTGGAGATGAGGGGAGGATTGGGAGCTGTAGTCTCTGTTTAATGGAGGCTGGAAGCAAGTGATCCCTGTGATGCAGAAGCTGATTCCAGTTCTGAGCTAGAACCTGCCCCAGAGTCCAGCTGGACACTTCTGCCTCCAACCTGTGGCCAAGACAGTCCTAGGGCTTGCAGAAATTGATCACTTCCCTTTGGGGTTTCATTGCTTGGGGGAATGAGTCACAGGTGTCCAGAGACCTCCATGCACACGTATGGCTCCCAGTAGCAGTCCCCACTCCCTTGGCCCTTTACTTGACTCTTCCCTTGACCAAAGATTATAAATTTTCTTTTGACTTAGGATTGCTTTAGTTTCAGGCTCCAAGCCTCACTAACTCAATGAAGTTATTCTCCCTTGTTCCTTCCCTCTATTCCAGCTGTTTAAGATGTATCTATTGGGCACCTTCTGTTTACTGCTTACCTCTCCCTTCCATCTCTAACCTCCTAGGAGTCCTTGGTATCTGTCCCCCACACTCTAGCACCTTATTATGTATGGCCCCATGATACTGATTGATTGTGTTGTGCAATAGTCTGATCTAGCTGCTTGAAAGCATAGAGTATGTTTTCGGCTCTGCTCAGAGGCCTCAGAAACCCCAGGGCTGAATTCGTCATATAGTGGAAACTCTAAAAATAGTTGGGGAACTGACTCCAACCTCTAGTGCCTACAAAAACAACAGTTCTCAGACTGGCAGGACTCCCTCAGGCAGAGGAAAACACAAACAGTCTGGGTTCAGTCAGACCATTTAGTTTGCTCCTCTTTCAGTGGCTGAAACCAACAGCTTCCCCAGGACATCTTACTAAACAGGATCACAGCACAAACCTGGTTCCCCTCTGAATACTGGCTGATCACTAACATATGTGTCACGGGTTTTGGTCCCAAAACTACATTTTTGCTGTCACGTAGATAGTTTCAACATGAATGACCAAGTAGTCATTTCATGATCATTCAAGTCTGTGCACTAAGGGCCCAGCAACCAGCTGAGAGAGTGAACAAACAAGCATTCATTAAGATATTCAATATTAGAACAACACAGACTAGGGGTGGGAGGGCTGTGGGATTTAATGATATCACAGCTATGAACTGGGGCTGTTGGCACCTACAAGAAATATATGTTTATCAAATGTCTCCAGTTCAAGTAAGTTGGGACCAGAAGTTTTCGAGTTGTCTTTTGCAATTTATGTTTAGCTTTTCTCATGGAATCAATCTCAAACATTTCTCTGCCTGGAGACTTGTAAATGAGCACACCAGATTTACATCTTCAAAGTGAACATGTACCACTCACTAAATGGCAACTTTTCTTTTGAAACCTGGGTTCTGAGGTACATTGCTTTTCTGGAATACAGCAAGTCATCCTATTTTGTGTGTTCAGTCCCTTGTGATTATATAGAATCATGGGTTCCTCCCTCAAAGAGCTACACACTCTTGGAGAGCTGGCATACACATATGTAAAATCATTAGCTATAACTGGAAAAGGCAGTGTGCCAGAAATGCTGTGGTACTAAGAGTCGTGAGGAGACAGAACTCAGCCAGTTGCTAATCCTTGCTGACTTGCCTGGGAGAAGAAGACTTACCATTTATTAGGCTCTTCTGTAATAAACCTGGTCTCACTTAATTTAACTCTAACCATAAAGTTTTCATTTCATTTTAATGTTGACAATGACCCTTATGAGGTCATGGTATTCATCTCCATTTCACAGATGAGAAAACTGAGGCTCAGGCTGGGGAGTGGCAAAACTGGGCTGGAGCACAAGTCTGACTGACTCAAAACATGCTTTAGCCACCATCCCATGGTGTCAGCTGGAAACGAAAGGCTGACGGGTCTAAGTCAGAGGTCAGAGGTTAATTCCAGAGAAGTCAGCTAATGTAGGAAAGAGTGAACAGGTACCCCTGGAATCCTACAGGTAGGAGGGAGAGATCAGGAGCTCAGGCAAGAAAACTACAGAAGGACTGGGGCCCAAGTTAAAAATGTGGATACCAAAGGATAAGAATCCAGGAAAAAGGTTTTGTTGTCGAACAGAACCAAGGTCCCAGGAGCCTGTTGTCTTGCCTTAACTCATCCTATTACCCAGCTGAAATAGACAATACACCAGAAGGAGTTGAGTGAAGGGTACAGTTAAAGGATGTGGGCGGGATTAAGGATGCGTGCTTCACCAATGGATGGTGAAGCAACTAACTCCTGAAGTCATGGAGTAGCAGTTGCCCAACAAGAGCTAAGACTATAGAGAAATGTGGCTATTGCCAGAAATAGAGCCAGGGAGGAAGGTCATATGGAAAATAAATAACCTGTGATCTTTCTCCTTCTGCTCTCTGATCTTCTGCCTGTGACTCCCAGTGCCCAAATACAGCTGGGAGACAGAGGGGAAGGGAGCTTAGGCAGTACAGTCCATAAGGTCATCCTCCCAAAGAACAGATCTGGAGAAGGTAGAGTGTAGATCTTCAGGGCAAAAAAGAATAGCCATCTTATTTGATAATAAGATGTTGATGATTCTAGTAAGCTGTCTGTTTCCCTAGTGCAGCTAATAATCATCACCCAAGTCTGAAGAGGCACAGATTGCAGCAAGTTTATTGCAAAGATAAGTTTATTGACCACTCCCTCTTGACTTAGCATTCTTTGTGTCCAGCAGTCTAGACTCATACTTTGGTACTAACACACTATCTCCTACAACTATAATAACAGTGAAAATGAAACCAAATGCTATGGAGCAAGAATTTGACAGAAGGTTGTTTCTCTAATGATTTGAAAAGTTGATTTTTGAACACATGGCATGTTTCCCTCAAATCATTAAATATGTATATTTGGCTTTAAAAAGTGTGGTCGGGAGGGTGGGAATCTATCTTTCATTGACCCATATAGATTTCTAGTCTTTCAGATCATCTCTTTGCTCCATACCTAACACAGAACCCACTTTTGATAGGTTAAAAAGATACATTCCCTACAAAAATGTAGACTCTATGCACCAAGGAAGCCCAACTCTGGAAAATTACTGAATTCAGGCCAACTGTATAGAATGATTACTAATTGTCCATCAAAACAGCTGTCTCAGTAGTAAGTCTGAAGAAGAGGAGAAGATACTGTTGCCTAACTAACGCTATAACTTGACATGTGATAGTGACAAAATAAGATTTAAAGTGTAGTTCTTCCTGGACTTGCTTTTTTTTGACCAAGCAGCTTTCAGGAGAGGCAGTGCTGTGGAAACTGCTTCTACTCTGTTAACCAAAATCCAGTATCATTTCCCATGTGGAACTCCCAATATAGAATGCCATGCCAGGCATCCCAGGTTCCAGTCTGTTCTGAGGAATCTTTAGACCTGGCATGATTCCCTGTTGGTAGTAGTTCAACTGCCAGACAGCTAAGCCCCATCTTAGCATGTCTTTGTACCCAGGGAAGGTAAAGTTGCCACACCCTGTGTATCCCATTTCTTCATGCTTGACCCCTTTGGTTTCAGCATTGATCCTATTAAAGCATGGATCCTTTTGGGAGGCTTAACACTGAGCTGCCATCAGCCACATATACCTGAGTATAATGGAAAGCTATGACAGCATAGGTGATGGGGCTAAGGAGGTGGACAAGGAGCCAGAGTTTGGCAGCACACCTGGCTCACTGTGGAGTGACATCTCACTGTGGAGGATGTCAAAGTAGCTGGGAGTCCTGTGGTTGACTTGATCCCTTCTTTTCACTTTCACAGGGCCACCCTGGACAACCGGGACCCAGAGGCCCACCTGGCCTGGATGGCTGTAATGGAACTCAGGGAGCTGTTGGATTTCCAGGCCCTGATGGCTATCCTGGACTTCTCGGACTACCCGTATGCTACCAGATCTTTGTATATTATTTCAGATGACTTCCTTGCCTCTGAGTGTGCCCTTTTTCTACTTTTCTGGAGATCTCATTAAGCATCTGTGGGGCAACCACTACGGCCTCTTATCCAATGCCAGAGTCTATGCTGGCAATGCCACAACATTAAATGTATAAAGAAAAATATCGATTGCAGGGAGTGTACACATGCTACACTACTTAAATGGGTTTTTTAAATGATGCTTTTAGAGTTGGCAAGATTGTTAAAGAATGTAGTAAACTTCAGAACAGAGTACATGCTTGAACTTTTGACATATTCCCACATCAGACTATATTGGGAAATGCAGTAATTGGAAGGCTTACATGGGATCATGGAGCACTAATGACCCAAAGGCCTTGGCAAGCTTGGTCTACACCAGTGATTCTCAACCACGGGTGCTTTTGCCTCTGTCCCCCCCACCCAGTCCAGAACATTTGACAGTTATGATGGCCATTTTTGGTCATCACAATTGCTCCGGGCACAGGACAACCAGCTCCCAGCATCAAGGAATCACCTGCCACAAAGTGTCAACAGTGAGAAATAGTTGAGAAATCCTATGCTACACTAACATAGTTTGCCCCCTTCTCCCCACTCTCCACATCATAGTCTTTAGTTCTGAGGCTGATAAGGCGCTTATTGGAGCCTGGTGTCACCACTTCTATTTAATTGTATTCATCTAGTTAGGGCTTAAATATTGGTATTTAAAGGATCTCTAATAGATACTATGCCCCTGCAAGGCTGCTTTCACAAGCGCCTAGAAAGAGAAAAATAACACATTTGAAGCCCATTCTCAACCTCACTTGAAATAATCTAAGCTAATAAGGGCACTGATATGATATATTTAGCTAGAAATCACACTATCTATTAGATAGATACATGAATTAATTGGTGGGGTGTTTTTTTTAGTATATCTTATTCCAGTGCTATGCCTGTTCTTTATTATTATTATTAAAGTATAATTGACATATAACATTATATTCATTTCAGGTGTACAACAAAATGATTTGATATTTGTATACATTGCAAAATGATCACATAAGTCTATTTACCATCTGTCACCATACAAATTTACATTTGTTTCTTGTGATGAGAACTTTTAAAATGTACTTTCTTCACAGTTTTCACATTTGCAGTACAATATTATTGACTGTAGTCCCCATGGTGTACACTGCAACCCCATGGCTTATGATTTTAACTGAAAGTTTGTACTTCTTGGTCTCCTTTGCCCATTTCACCTGCCTCCTTAGCCCCTCCCCTCTGGCCACCACCAATCTGTCCCCTGTATCTGTGAGTTTTGTTTTGTTTTGCTTGTGTGCTTGTTTTCTTTTTTAGATCCCGCATGTCAGTGAAATCACATGGTATTTGTTTTGTCTGACTTATTTCATTTAACATTATATTCTCAAGGTCTATCCATGTTGTTGCAAATGGCAAAATTTCATTCTTTTTTGTGACCAAGTAGTATTCCACTGTGTGTGTGTGTGTGCGCGCGCGTGCGTGTGTGTGCACACGTGTGTGTGTATCACATCTTCTTTATCAATTCATCCATTAATGGACATTTAGGTTGTTTCCATATCTGGGTATTTATCTGAAGAAAAAAAAAACACTAATCCAAAAATATGTATGTACCCCTATGTTCATCACAGTATTATTTAATTGGCATTTTTGTTAAAGAGCAGTGTGATTGCCTTCAGTGACCAAGCTGTAAATGTGGGTATATGTGAGAAAGTGAGACAAAGAAAACACAAGCCCCAGATTGGCATGAAGGACTCTTAGACTAGGGGGCAGCAAACTGGCCACTGTGCCCCTGGGCCTGCAGCTTGTTTTTACATTTTTAGAAGACTTTGAATATGAGAGAAGAAGAATTATGTGACAAAGCCCAGATATGGCCCACAAAGGCTAAATTATTTACTGTCTGGTTCGCTGACCACCCTCCTAGACAAAGGCTTTGTCAGTGATTTATACCTGTGAGGGATGGGGCAGGTGAGCTCTATAGGCTTCTGAATGACACATGTATTCTATGTGGATGTTCAGATTGGTGCTCTGAATAGATTCAGAGCCTCCTACTTTCTAATCCCTTTACAGACTCTGACTTGAGGGTGGGGGGTAGGCATACAGCTTTGAGACACAACACCTAGTTTGGGGGATGTACTTTGCCCCTTAGCACAGCCAATTCTGTCATAGAATAAACCACACGGTTTCAGGCTTTTGCTGTTCTGTCCTCTATCTGATCAGATCATGCTATTAACAAACCTCCATGTGTATGCATTTCTTCACAAGTTGTTATCATTTTTCTCAGGGGCTTCCTGGTCAGAAAGGCTCTAAAGGTGAACCTGTCCTTGCCCAAGGTGGTTTGAAAGGAGTGAAGGTAAGAGCCTCTAAGGCAGACAGCTGAGTGGGCTATAAGCTGAGTTCCCCTGGACTGGGCCCCACCTCCAATAAAAACATTTCCAGAACTAGCATCCATGTCTCTCTTTAAGGAGCAGACCAAGCTGGGTTTAAAGAGGATCCAGAGCTTCTTTTTGTGATAGAAACATTGACAGAAATGTTTTCAACCATACTGCCCAAGAGATTCGCTTTGTAGGATCTAGATCTAATATGGGAGCCAGGTCAGCAAACAGTTTGCATGGGTATCATTTTCTTTGACAAATGGAAACATTTCCTGGAGGCAGATACCTTTTGTCTACTCCAGAATCCTTGATGTCTGCATACCTTGGTTTGAAGCCATGTATGTCTCTGTCCATCTCAGCATGGCCACCAGCCCAGATCCTGGCCCTGCCCTTTTCTGTATCTGCACACCAGCCCATCACCCAAGCAGGGCCCCTGGCTGTCTGCAAAAATTGCCCTTCAACTCTGCAGCTGGTTGGAAACTTTCATCTCTTCCTAGAAGTGATAAGAACCTTCTGTGTTCTTGTGACTACTCTTGGTCTATACTGCCTGGTATCCTGTGGACCCTCAGCAAACTCTAGTGCCAGATGATTGGCCCTATTCCCTTGCAGAGTGGGAAGTTTGCCGGTCATTTCCCTAGTAGTAGACAGGAATCTATGTACCCAGCATCTGAGGGAAAGATGTACCCAAGCTCACTCAGCTGAGAATGGCACTTGCCAGTCTTCCATCCATGCACAGAGCCAGGAACATTGGAAATCACTTTGGAAGTCAGTGGCAGGGGTGGGTGGCTGAGAGCTGGAGAAGGTATAGGGTTTGGACTCTTGACTATAGATGCCATAGCAAAAATAGAATCTTAGACTTGGAAGGACTTCCTGATTGTTGGATTCATGTTGTTCAATTTACAGGTAGAAAAACTGAGGTATACTAAGGCTATGTGACTTGCTCATAGTCACATAGCCAGTTTACAGAAGAGCCAAAACCCAGGCAGTGCTCTTTCCATGAGCAAAGAGCTGATTTTTGACAGTAAGCCAAATAGGGTAAGATTAGCAGGTGTCAAAATATGGCTATTGTCATAGCAAACGTTGATTAAACGGTTTTACCAAAAATCAGAGACCCTGGACCCAGTGGAACACAGCAATTTCCACAAGATGGTTATATTACAGATTCATATAGTGACTTAAGATGCTGCAAAGTAATTAAAACGTAATCAGAGACTGTACGCTCTGTTGATTCTCCCTTGAAATGGCTGATTTGCATTGTATACATATGGGCACAGATTCTCTGGGGATGAAGGCACATGGGAAGGTAGCTTTGCTTTCCTCCAAAAAGAGCAGGAAAATCACCAGCCCGCAGAAGCCATTTCTAATTGATGAATTCCTAGCAAAGGTGAAAATTAATTAATCCAAGTAAAATATGAAATCCTGTTCAACCAAGTCTATAATATTTGTCTTCTCGAGTCCAGATTTTTCTTAGGAAAAAAAAGTAAGTGGTTGAATATGTCCAATTCATGCAGTATTTAAAACACAAGACCTTGACAGAGGAGAGCCAAGCTTCAGTGGTGCGTTTTTATGCTTGTGAATCTTAGGTCAGTTATCTATGAAATACTACAGGTTTCATTTATTACTCTCTTCAGTGTCCTGACTTTGTCTGTTTCTCAGGGGAAACCTGGCCTGCCTGGACTGGCTGGAATTGCTGTAAGTTGTTATTTCTGTGTTGAGCTATCAATATTTGGTCAACAGTTACTGATGGTCTGTTTTCATTCCTCTCTGTGGTGTCCAAATGTCTTTGTAGACCTCCTCAAGGAAAATCCAGAGAGCTGAAGGAGAAAGGTCCCTCTACTGCATTCTTCCAGATGAGGAAGTACTGAGAGGATGGACTGTCCACCTCAAATTACACAAAGGGCAGGCTTTCAGACCCTTAGTCCAGGGACCTACATACTCTCTGGGAGGTGTTAGGAAAGAATGTTGCCTTTCCTGCAGCAAGGCTTTCCTAGGTGTTTTCCGTGTATTCAGAGTGCTGTGGGTCAAACAAAATAAGTCAAACACTCTTTTTTACAAGATATTCTATATAGAACTTCCTTTTAGGGACTCTTAGTGAGTCCATGCAAGGCTATAGGTTGTATTAGTAAGAGCTTTCTTTTTTCCTTGAGTTTCCACATTGTCATCACTTTCTTTTAAAATAGCTTAAGAAAAACCCCTTCCTTCCTGTATTGGGGTTCCTGCCTTTCTTCTTTCATTCTAGAACAGTTGTTGAGCTACCATCAGCAAAGTGCTAGAAGCGATCCCCGAGATGATGCAGACATGGTCTCTGCCCCCTTACCCCCAAGGATGTGAAGAACTAGTAGGGCAGTGGCATAAGAATTCCACAACAGTTTCAAGGAAAAGATGCTGTCCACCTAAGGATAGCTCATGAGAGACTTTATATCTAAGATAGAGAAGGTAGCCTCTGAGAAGTGGGAGTGATGTTTAGGCTGGCTGACAATGGGAGGAAGCTTTCTGAACAGAGAGAGTAGTGTGAGAAAAGATAGGCAATAAACAGGATTTCTGCAAGCCCACATGTATGCAGAGAAGGGCATGCAGGTCCCCTAGAGCTAAACAACATCAGTTGAGATGATGTAGTAACTACATTTGTAGAATAACATCCACTGAGTTTGCTGCATAGCTTGTCTAGAGATTCATTTCCCTGCCCACAAAGGTACACTGTCCTACATACAGAGGCATGATAAATAAACCACTTAGATTCGGGGAGGGACATTGGTGACTGCATTGGAGATGTGTGATCAGTAAGGAGATGACAGGTTATTAGTTACTGTCAAAGCAATGTTTGACTCTCATACATTGCTGGGGAACCTTTGAAACCCTACTTCCTCTTCCTCCTAAGTCTCAACTTCACTTAGCCACTCCATCCCTTACCTAGGCACATGTCACCTTATTACTGCTCCCTGATTTTGATTGGGCCATACATTTCCTCCTACCATCTTTCTCTTCAAACTTCATGTCTTGCTTTTAATACTGTTACTCACTTCAAATTATTTTCTAGTTTCTCTTCTAATGTTTTGTTTGGTTCCCGGAGATACATGTTGTTTAATCTCCAGATACTTGACAACATTCCAGATATCTTTCTATTATTGATTTCACTGCAATTAGAATGTGTACTCTGTATGATTTCAATCCTTTTACATTTTTTTTGAGATTTGTCTCATGGCCCAGTGCATAGAATGCTCTTGGTGAGTGTTCCATATGCATTTGAAGGGAGTATGTATTCAACTGGTTGAGTTTGACCAGTTTTTAGGTTACTGTAAGTGTAACTTAAAAAATATTCATTAGGTCAAGGTAGTTGGTAATGTTGTTTGGCTCTCGTATGTCCTCACTGATATTTTTGTGTAGTTCTATTAATTACTGAAGGAGGAATGTTAAAATCTCCAACTATAGTTGCAGATTTGTTTGTTTCTTCCTGAAGTTCTGTCAGATATTTCTTCATATATTTTGAAGCTCTGCTATTAGATGCATACATCTAAGATTACTATGTCTTCTTGATGAATTAACCTATTTTATTGTTATGAAATGCCCTCTCTTTATTACTGATAATAGTATTTGTCTTGAAGGCTACTTTAACTGACATTAACATGAATTGTTTGGCTTTCTTTAAGTTTTTTTATATCATTTTAATATGAACATTGTCAAATACAAAGTTGAATGAATTTTGCAGTGAACACTCACACTACTATTTTACTGTCCTTGTTTTATCCCACTGCTATCCATCCATCAATCCATCTTTTTTTTGATGCAATCTTATTTTTGATGCATTTCAAAGTCAATTGCAGACAGCAGAACTCATACCCTTAAATACTACAGCATATCTATCATTAGCTAGACTTCAGAGTGTTTACCGTTTTTCTTTTTATGTAAAATCTACATGCAATGAAATACACAAATCTTACATGTGTATTTGCTGAGTTTTGACAAATGCATACTTTTAGGTAATCTGAACCCTTCTAAGGTAAGGAATATTCCCATCACCTCAGAAAGTTCCCTCCTGCCCCATCCCAGTCAAGCCCTGTCCCCACCCCACCATACTGGCAAGCACTCTTGTGATTTTTTTTCATCATTGATCAGTTTTTCCTATTCTAAAACTCCATATAAAGGGAAAATACAATTATGTAGCTTTTGGGGTCTGGCTTCTTTCACTTAGAACAATGCTTTGGAGATTCATCCACGTTGTTTCATATATTCATACTTTGCTACTGTTTATTTTGAGTATTTATTCCACCTTTTGGATGAATTGCAGTTTATCAGTCCTTGAATCAGTGGACAACTGGGACATTTCCAGCTTTTTACTGCTGTGAATAAAGTTGCTATAAACATTCTTGTGCAATCCTTGTGGGCATATGTTTTCATTTTTCTTGAGAAACTATCTTACATTTTTGACCGTGGTAAATCTTGCATCTCTAGGGCCCACAAGGAGCACCCGGATCTCTAGGAGCTGCAGGACCCATGGGGCCATCAGGATTGGAAGTAAGAGCAACCTAAGTCTGCCGTGTGATCCCAGTACTTGCATGAATGCTTTCCTCACCAGACCAGACCATGGATTAAATGTAAACCTGTGTAAATGTAGGCCCTCCTAGGAGAGAAAGGCAACTTCCATTCTTGGGGGATCAAAATGAAGGATGCTCTAGTAAAGAGCTATTTGTTGTCTTTATTTCTTTCTGATTGTCCACTCTGTACCTCCAAACCCTCCTAGCCTCTCAGCCTAAAGAATAGCCTGGCACATCTATTTCCACCTTCCTTTCCACTCACCCATGACAGGCATTGCTAATTAATTATATCACCACTGCCATCACCCACCCTGAGCACAGAAGAAGCTTCAAAGTCCTTCTCAATACTGCACGTTGGACAGCTCTACCTACTTACCTTTCTGATACCAAACCTATTTGCCATTACTGGTAATAGAAAGAGCATAGCCAGTCATCCATGTGGCTCTGGGAAAGCCCTGTCCCCTGATTGTTCTCTCTCCAGTCCATGAAATCCCACTGCTGATTACTTTAGTGTAGCTTACCAAAGGTTATCGTTTTAAAATTCCTGGCCAATTGGAAGAATGATGCATGAAGTCTTCACTACATTAGTGTGAATGTGGTTATCAGGTCAGTCTCGGAGATTTCAAAGGTGATAAAAAACAAACCATGGGAGATGGACCTAGGATTGGCTATGCTGAAGCCATGCTACACCAAGGGAATGGGGGACCTATCCCCCCAGTGAGTCTCAACATGCCTAGGTTCTTTTTGGCTGACACTAACAAGCGCTTTTTCATTTTTATCGTAGGGTCCTCCAGGACCCCCTGGCTTCCTTGGTCCTGATGTAAGTATACTTTGTTTTTGGGGCATTTGGCCTCCTTTTACTACATACTCTAGTTTCCCCAGATATATTCTGGTTTGGTTAAACACACTTCCTAGTTAAAAGACTGCATTCCAATTTAAGTTCCTGGAGCTTGTTTAGTAATTGATTTTGTTTTTTCTCCCTGCACCCATGCACCCCAGGGGAATATGGGGTTAGGTTTCCAAGGAGAGAAAGGAGTCAAGGTAAATAGATTTTGGAAAATACTATCTGCTCTCTATATGCTTCAAGAAACATCTCTGGCTGCACACATGTGCCTGCTTGTGTAAGGGGATTTGGATCTTTGCCATGGGAAATTAGCATTTCCCAACCCACATGTATCCTTGGGTGGGTTCCCTTGAGGACTGCATGGCACACATAGGCTATTGTGACCTTTTTCCTTCAAAATATTGTCATCTTCCTGTTTCCTACCTGAGAAGTGTATATGTCTTACAAACATACTCTCTTGAAATACATTCCCTCTTCCTTCCACCTGTGTATTTTCCTGGTGTTTTGTACATTGCATCACCTTCTCTTTCCTTTTCTCTGCTTTTCCTGTCCCCTTCCTCCTTCTTCCTCTTCCTCCTCCTCTTCTTCTTCCCTCCTCCTCTCCTCTTCACTATCTCTTTCCATCCCATCTCTCTCTCCTCCTTAACCTCTCTTTCATCATTCTCTTTTATGTCCCTTCCCTCATTCTCCTATTTCCCTCTGAACTGTATAGTGGTTTGGGAGTCTCAAGGGAGACTGGGAGCTCGTCCTCCCCACCTCTGTGGCTGCCTCTTATAGACTGCACTGCCTTCAAGGAGCAAATCCAGCTCCTGGTGTTCCAACACAGCCTTTACTGCCTCTGCTGGTGCTCTTGGCAAGGACTAGACCAATTAGAGTCTGAGCACCATTGCCAGGAGATGGCCATTCACCTTGCTCAAACTCCTTTTTTGGTCACTTCTAAATATCCTTTCGTGCATGTCCATGGCAACCATGCCTGTGCCTTCTTTTTATCCATCTTGCTTCCTCCCTCTGCACTGAAGCATTTGATCAGGTTTATAATTCTTTTCACCCCTTGGCACTGATAGTTTTGTTTCCTCATTGATGCAAGGGTGAGGATGAAGAGGCCAAAGTAATGGACAGTTTATTTGTGAATTCCAGCCAGAGGACAAACCTACCCTCTGGAGAAATGGTCTGTGTAGTTTCTGCTTTGCTTAATGTTCCCTTTGATCTTACAGGGGGATGTTGGCCTTCCTGGCCCTGCAGGACCCCCACCATCTACTGGGGAGCTGGAATTTATGGGATTTCCCAAAGGGAAAAAAGGATCCAAGGTAGTGATCTTTTAAGAACAGGAAAAATTAATAAGCTTTTTCTTTTTAACACCAGAGTTTAGACTGGAAGGATAAGAGGGTTCTGGGTAATGGATTTTTGTTCAGAAGTGAGAGTAAAACCTTCTTTATTGTGTCCCTTATAAGTAGCTTTCTAAAAAGTCTTTTTTTTTGCGAGTGGATATGAGTGTGCCTGGGTTTCTGAGTATTCATTTAAGTGCTATTTTCTGTGTTTCAGTTTTGCAGATTCAATTATCAAGATGCTGAGTAAATTTAAAAAACATTAAATAGTTGTTTTTTTCCCTCCTAACTCCCAACCCTCTTAATACTTCTGTTGTTCCCCAAGCACTGTGACAGAACACCTATGTTAAAATGGTTGCTTTTGAGTTACATTTGTAAAGAATTTATTTGCCCTCAAAAACTTGACCCTGAACATCGGATACATCATCACCAAGTGTCAATAGATGCCCTAATTCACCTGATCTGAACTACCAAGTCTGAAGCTATAGACCTATTTAACCAAGATATTTTGTAATCTGTATTTTGATGTGAGAGTGTAACACATGGCTGTATTTCACTCGCTATCTATTGATAAGGTGTGCAGATATCTTTCAGTACCCTGCATTCCCTTCCTGCCTGGGGTTCCCTTAAGTTTTGTGATTCTGTGTCTGTAGTCAAGGGATCCAGGCAGGGAAAGTGTTTAGTCCCATTTCTTTAATTTTGTCTTTGTAGAAGCAAAGACTCCAAGCCCTCTCCTGGTTGATTTACAGGAAGTAATCATTGCTTTGGAAAAAGTTTTGGAGCATATGAAAGATTGCCTGCCTCTCTTACCATTCCCAAACCTTAGGGAGCCTTTCCCTGGCACATATAAGTAAATAAGCACATCAGGGAAACATAGATTAGAGTGTTTATATATCCCTATCCAAATTATAATTGTTACTTTCTACCCAAAACTGCTGATTTCTTTGCAGCCTATAATTTGCTCTAGGAATTTGCACTGAATATCTTCTTCCACTAGAAAGAAAACATATGATCATCCTTCTGTCTCCTAATTAGCCTGAGAATTTGAGATTCTGTTTTTAGATACTTTTCTTTTCCTGTAATGGGTCTTGGCTATTCCCACAACACAAAGGGGTCCCTAAACTAAGACATCCTGGTGCAGTCACTAGTTGGGGTGCCCCAATCCTGTAATCCCATTGTTTCCCCACTGCCCAACTCAAGTAGCTCACAGGAGCCATCTCCTTTGTGTTCACTGCTTCCTGTTGCCATTCATTAATTAAGCTTTGGTTGGTTTTCCAGGGTGAACCAGGGCTTCAAGGCTTTCCAGGAATAAGCGGCCCTCCAGGCTTCCCAGTAAGTTTCCCTATTTGGTCAACATGTGTTTAAGGATCTGATTGGATAAAAGTTATAGGAATAGGAGGCTAACAGGAAGACTTTTTCCTGTGATTATTGTAGAGTTCCACCATCTTCATTATTGGCAGGCATTTAAAGAAATGTTCTTGTTTCTCAAACCCATGGGGACATTAGCATGGTTCCTTATCAAACTATGTATCTTAATCTTAGAGATTATTAAGTCAAGCTCTAGAGTTAAAACCGAACCAGGCTTGACTTCTGGTTTCAACAATTTCTAGCTGTGACTTGGACAAGACTCTTAACTGTTCTGAGCTTCAGTTTCCTAACTTACAAAAAAATGGGACAAAATAGGGTGGTCATGAGGATTAAATGAGGTAATATGCATGAAAAGGGCTTAGTATACACCTGTCACTTATCAATTTTCAGTAAGTGGTAGCTAATCTTAGTAATCCTATGTTTATTTTCCTATCTGTCCCCTTGTATCTTAGATTCTTTCATTCAACAAATATCTTTTGGGTGTCCCTATGTGCCAGGCATTCTGCTGGACTCTGAGGCTACAACAGTAAATAACAGTCTAATGAGTAAAAGTCCCTGTTCTTGAGGAGAGGACATTCTAATGGGGTAGTGAGGGAGGAGACAGACAATAAACAAGTAAACGAATGAAAAACAGGTTCACACAGTGGTTAGTGATACATACAAGGTAAAAAATGGTGAAGTGGTGGAGCATGACTGGGGAATGGGGTGGGCTCCTTTGGACAGAGTGATCAAGACGGGCCTCTCTGAGGAAGGATGAGGAGGGAGCAAAGTCACATGAAGATGGGAAAGAGTGTTTCTGGCCAAGGGAACCACAAAGGCCAAGACCCTGAGGTTGGAAAAAGCTCAGCGTGTTGGAAGAAGATCAAGAAGGTGAGTGAATGGAACAGAGTGAACAAGGCTGAGAACCAGGCAAAAGAGGCAGGAGCCAGATCATGAAGACCTTTGTAGGTCAATGTGGCTTTTATGGTAAATGTAATGGAAAGCAGTTAGGAGGCTCTGACTTGTATTTTTAAGATCTCTCTTGTGGTGCAGGTGAAGATGGTAGTAGCTTGGACTAAGGTGATAGCAATGGAAATGGAGAGCAGGGCATGGATTCAAAATGTAAAAGGTTTAAACTTTTTTGTTATGGAACATTTCAAACATATACAAGGTGGAGTGAATAGCAAAATAACCCCCCTGTGTACTCATTACCCAGCTTCAATAATAAGCAACTCGACTTCCAATCTGAAGCAAGTAACATATCATTTCATCATAAATACCTCAGTATTTCTAAGAGATAAGGACTTATAAAACAATACAGTGACAATATCATCGATAATTATCAGTTAATTACTTAATATCAGTTAACAAGTCAGAATTCAGATTTATGATTGTCTCAATTATTATTTATAATTGCCTTTATGGTTGAGAATCCAGATGAGATTCACATATTACTTTTGGTTGATATGTCTCTTAAATTGCACTGTGTGTTTAGAAGGAGAAGCTGATAAGATTTTCATGGATTGGGTGCAGGGGGCGGGGGGCGGGGTAATGGATGAATCTATGATGATTAGGCCTGCCCCTACTTGATGGCAAAGTGAAGACAGGTGACTCCAATGCTTCCCCACAGTTCTTTGAAACACTTTGGGTCTCTCTGGGTAGCCAGAAAACAGAAGCACTAGAGCCATCGCACAGGTTGCTTCCATGCTGATACTATTACTCCATAGAAACACAGGGCACAGACAATTGCCTCAGTGTCCTTGATTTTAATCAGCTTAGTATCTAATGAATCAGAAAGGGAGAGAACCTTGATGTTGGAGGTAGGATTTCCAGACTTCAGACCCAGCTCTAGCTCTGGGGCCTTTTCAACTCTCTGAACCTCTCTGTGTATCTGTAGCAATAGTCACAATGGTCACAATATGGAAATGGTCATATCTACTGTTTTGACTTCTCTGTATCTCTGTAATGACAATGGTTATATCTACTGTTCTGAGGCCCAACTCACAATGTACAGGAAGTTTATTTACAAAGTATAAAGCTGTGCTGTACAATATGATAACCACAAGCCACATAGGGCTACTGAGTTCTTGAAATGTGGCTAGTCTGAAATGAGATGTCCTGTAAGTGTAAAATATACACCAGATTTCAAACACTAGGTGTGAGGAAAATAATCTAAAATACCTCACTAACAACTTTTGTTGAAATGATAATATGTATATTTGATTAAATAAAATATCATTAAAATTAATCTCACTTATTTATTTTACTTTTTCAATGTGGCTACTACAAATTTAAAATAGTGTAGGAGCTCACATCACATTTCTATTGGACAGCACAGATATAAAATACTTTGCAAGTGGGCTGGGGAGTAAGGTTCGTGCCTTCTTGTGAGCAATTCACATAGATTCTAGTCACTTCACATCATCCCTGGAGGTAAGCAGGGTGGGTTGGGTTTATCTCCCTCTACTGATGAGGAAACCATGGCCTGAAGAGATGAAGAGGTTTGTCCAGGGTCACACAGCAACTTATTAGCAGAGCTGAGACTGAAATTCAGCTTTTCTGAATTCTAGCCAATTCAGGGCTTTTCCCCCATACCATACTGCCCCCTAGAGTCCCGTTTGCTCTTGTCCTGCTGGTAGTAGATTTTATGATCTCTGGTGTTACTGAGTTCACTGGCTCATACTCCCTCCCTTCCTCCATTCCATTCCCAGTTCAGCCTCACAGGCTTTTCCCTGCTGCACTTCCGCCCTGCTCCCTTTTGTCCTGTAAAAGAAGAGGGACTGGGTGACAGCAGTGATCAGTCATAAATTGTAATTCCATTTCAAGCTCAGCATCTCCAGTGTTTCACAGTATGTGGGCTGAAAAAAATAGAAACCCCAGTTGATTGTAAAGACACAGAAACAGGAAAATACTTAATATAACACAGTGAAGTACTTAATATAGCACAGTGTGTTTTCAGAGGGTGGGAATCAAGAAAACAGAGTTCTCAGCCCACTTGGGCATGGATTCAACATGTAATCCTGGCCAAACAATGTAGCTCCTTCACTCCTAATACAGGCATATCTCATTTTATTGCAATTCACTTTTTTGCACTTCGTGGATGCTGCTTATTTTTCCAAATTGAGGGTTTGTGGCAACCCTGCACTGAGCAAGCCTATCATCACCATTTTCCCAATAGCATCTGCTCACTTCATTGTCTCTGTGTCACATTTTGGTAATCTTCCAATATTTCAAACTTTTCTATTATTATTATATTTGTTATGGTGATCTGTGATCAGCGCTTATTACTGGCCAAAAGCTCAGATAATGATTAGCATTTTTTTTGCCACAAAGTATTTTTAATTAAGGTATATAGATTGGTTTTTAGATAATGCTATAGCACACCTCATGGACTACAGTATTGTGTGAACATAACTTTTGTATATGTTGGGAAACTAAAAAATTCATTTGACTCACTTTATTGCAATATTTGCTTTTTTGTGGTGATCTGGAAGCCAACCTACAGTATCTCCGACGTATGCCTTTCTCTCTGTCTGCCTAATGGGAACATTCAAAGGTGCCTTCTGGGCCTTCTGATAGAAATCCTGTGAGAAAAAAAGTGATAATGTGTTTGAGATACTCTGGGCTTTTCAGAGGAAACATACTTCTTGAATACCATGCCCTCACATCAGCTTTCAATCATTCACACTCACTGAGAAGCAAGGCCACACTGAGGATGGAAATCTCTAGGGAATCTCAAAAAGGTTCCCTTTAACTGTTTCCTCTCCATAGGAGCCTAAATCTTTGCAGGAGCTGCTGACAAGAGGCCAGCCTGACAGGCTGATGCCTCGTCTTCTCTCTCCTTTCCCCTCTGCAGTGAGCAAACATCCTTGATTTTCTGGCTCAGCCCCAGCGTCACACGTTTCCTTCTCTTGTCCCCAGCAGCACACTCACAGGGGCAGGCCTCCCATGGAGATCGTCAGAGAGAATCAGACACCTGTGTGCCCTCTGTCCAGGAGACCAGCAAACAGGGTACAGCAAAAAGGGAGAGATGAGGGGAGGGACAAGAGAAGAAGCAGGCAAATCCTGAGGTACCTACTGAGTGGATCTGAGTCAACTAGTGGGCTATTAGGCGGGTGGAGTTCTCCCTTAACCCAGCACCAGGCTTTCCTGGTGGTAGATCTTATGGAGGAGGAGCCCCAGTGTGACAGACTTATGCTAGGCCCCTAGGCCCTGGCGCCCTGAGGGGCAATAATGGCAGAGTGACTTAGTCCAAGTCTAGAAAGAGACTGACTTGCCTAACCTGTGAAGTTTCAAATCTCCAGTCATGCTTGCAGTGCCAAGCAGAGCAGATTTCAGCAGTTTAGCTTCCCAGATATCCCCACAAATCCCTCCCGGCCCCTCCCTGATGGCATCACCCCGCCTCCATGCTTTGGCCTCCCTCCTGCCTTCCCCAGCTAGGAAGGTGCCCTTGTGGCCGAGGTGGCTCTGGCCATCTGCACTGCCTTCACTGGGGCCATCGGGAGCCTGCTGTGGGTTGGGGGGAGAAGCTCGAGGAGAAGGTGACCACGTAGACGCCTGCCTGTCAGGTGAGCATGCCTCTGAGGACCCACGGCCAAAGTGGCTTTCACTCATCAGTGGATCCTGACAGCCCCGGGTTCCAGCCTAGTGTTGGCAGTTTGCCTTTCTCTTCACCACCCTCCTCACCCCGCCCCAAGGACCGCGTCATCCCCGCTTACTCCTGGCCACGGGACTGAAGTTGAGGTTTTACAGAGCCACTACTATCCTTGAACCAGAAATACCAGGAGACCAGGGCCCTAGGGAGTACACCTGGAAACACCTAAGCTAGTGCTCTAATGAGGCCTTCCTGGCATGGGTGAGAAGGGGTGAAGAACAGCTCATGATGAGGACTGACTGTGACAGAGGCAGATCCCAGGACACTTTGCTAGAACAGCCAGTTCTGCGGGCCCTGTGTAGTGCCCCCCTGCACTGGAAGTCATGCTGAGCCTACAGCCCCAAATCTTGCCAAGTCATTTATGTTTTATTGGCTTTAACCCACACAGAGAAATTACTTTCTGTAATTTTTTTCCTTTTTAAAGTTCTTGTGTATTTATTTATTTTTGTTCATATTGTAGCATAAACTCTCAGGCCCTCTCTCAGAGAAAGTAAGAGTCCAGCTATTCTTTCTGCTTTCCGAAGAAAAAGGACAAGTTCACTTTGTCTTTATGACTCTGGACAAGATAGGTAGGGGGCAGGAGACAGTTGCAGGAAACTTTTTCCATCACCTTTTGCAATGGTTTTGTTCTCTGGGTCATTATTCCATTCAACAAGTACATATTCAACCACTTTGTATGTGTTCAGCCTGTGGTAACATGCCTTGAAGGGGACAGAAGTGAGTGTGATATAGACCTTCTGCTTATAAACTTTCATACACAACCCATCTTAGCTCTTTACAAATGTGTGTCAGTGCGGGCTGCCGAAGCTCTGTGGACTGCCAGGAAAGGCTGCCTGAAGTGTTTGACTTCAGGGGTCCAATAGACACATTCCACCAGGTGGCAGCATGCCTTGGTTTCCAATTCGAGAATGCAGAACTATGATTTCCTGGAAAGCTAAGGAGTATTCAGCCACTACCTGTGGGAAAGCCCTACGTGTATAAGAAGAAAAAACTACAAATGGGATAACAGTGCCTTCACAACCAGCTGAGCGAGGTCACATCAACAGAACAGGAGATGTGCCACCACACTGACTGTCTTTCTTAAGCTTACATTCGAGAAAGCTTCACTACCTCTTTATACTCTCACAATAGGCCTAAATGTGGTTTGCCCAAATTTATTCTCCAGAAAGTCCCACTTTAAACAAATAACAAAATGGCCTCAGTTAAGTTTGCCGTGAAAAGCTTCATCCACTTTGGTAAAGAACTCTTCTGTATCTCTAGGCCTAGAATATGCTTGCCTTGAACCCAGAGGCGTGGAAAGTCTTTCTCACTCACTCTCCTTTTTGGATTTCTGCCTGCCCCTAGAGAATCCCCCAATGTCTATGACCACAAGCCCTCACTTCCACTTTCCCACACCAGCAGAACAAGAGGAGTTGACCATCTTATAGTCTTGTTTGGAGTACTCCTAGGGTCTGCTGGGTTGTAGGCCATGCCTTGATAGAAATATTCATTCCTGCTAAAGAGAATGTTGCAGTCATCGTGTCTCCAAAGGGCAAAAGCTCTTCGCTCTAGTATTGACCCCCAAGAATGAATGCAGTGCTCCATTTGTGGATCAAAATACCAAGCTCCTAGATTATGGAAGGTAGCCTGTTCTCAAGGAAAAGGCCCAGAAATGGAAGTCTGAAGACCTGTCTGTCTCATTGATTCTGCAGCCTATACAAGATGCTTAGCCCTTCTGAGTGTTAGTTTCTCCATTGTAAGATCAACAAGGTTAGATATTTAATCATTTCTATACTATTAGCCCATGTTGCTATAAATATATGTAACAGTGTTTCGGGGAGAAGACATTACTTCCAGAACCAAAAGGGAACCTTGAATGAATGGCCCAAGTTATATTCAGGCCCTGCCTGCTTCCCAGGCACTGACAAGAGACTCAGCATGGTGAGCCTTCCCAACAGGGACCGTGGAGCTAGTTTGAAATTACCTCCTTGGTTTGGATGGAGCCAAGAGACCAATGAGTAATTGAATGTTATAACTTGTGGTTTCTTTTTTCCTTTAGGGATTTGGAACTGCTGGAGAAAAGGGAGAAAAAGGAATCCCTGGTTTGCCAGGACCTAGGGTATGAGCCTGGAATGTTGCTAACTTGGTCCATTTTCTTTCCTGTTTGCATCTTTGTCATGTAACTTTATGGCCACCTAAACTTCTCTTATTTCTCTTCCTCAACCCTCTAGCAGGTTCTCTAAGACCTCCTCCTCTTCACTTTGCTCTATTACCTTGACTTAGTGGTTCCCTGGAATAAGGAATGGTGTACCCTTTACACGGACTCCTTAACCTATTTACTCTTCTTGTGCTCATGTATAATTATCTTCTGGGCTAAATACTTTGTCTTACTTTCATTCCATTATATCCTGAGAGAATGTGGAAGGGTTAGAGGGGGCTGCAGGAATGGAAGAAAGAGAGCCAAGAGCAACTTTATAGGACAGAAACAAGGCTGGGAAATTTTAGAACATAGATGTTTGGAGTCAATAGTTTTCATTAATAATCTCCCTTCAGGAGATTTAACTGTTAGCTTCTCTGATTCCTAGCTTCAGGCACTTAGGTTTTAGGCTGTAAGCAATTGGCCAACCTTAGCCTTAAAGAAGTAACATTGTAAAGAATTGTTTTTACATCTGTCATGAAGGTTGTTAAGAGTCTTTTGAGTAATCAGCAATCTTCATCCATTACCCCGCCATTTCTTTCACTACTTTTCCCTATTCCCTTGTCTTGAAAACACATAATCACCAACAAAGAAGGCTTTGGGATGAGAAACAAGAGGCCCTCCCACAATCTATTTAAAAATCTCATGACTTGAAACTAATGCAGACTGAGTACAATACCACCCAGCCATTCTACCAAATTCCACCTAATACTTAAAATGTTTCCATTTATTTAGCTCTTTAAAAATGCTCTGTGTCACTATTCAACCTGATGGATTAGTGCTTAGAAAGAAGTCATTAAGCCAGGTCTAGGAACATTCTCTTACCTGATTTTAGGAGCCGCTAAATCCTGAACTCAGTTGGACAGCTTTGTTATGTAAGTCTAGCAGCTTTTCCTAGTGTGAGCTATTAATCTTTCTAAGGTGCTTCTATTCTCTTTACAGGGTCCCACGGGTTTAGAAGGAGCCCAAGGCCCTCCAGGGAGTCAGGTACTTTGATTAATATCTTTAAAGCCTTGTTGTTTAAAATCCTAATCAAAAGGCCCATTTGCTTTACTTAACATGGCCATCAATCCAAAGGGAGACACTGCATGTAATACAAATTGTCCACTTCCCTTTGATTGGTATCTCAGATACTCTCTCCTTTTATTTTCCCCCAAGAAGAGGAGTACCCAGTTGGTGTCGTGACAGGCAGTGATCAGTCACACTTCTTTAACGTGTTATCAGGCCCTAGCAAGGCCAGCCTGTGTGTGTGCATCTCTAGCTTTGTGGCCCTCGTGCCTTCTAATATGCAAGCTGGCTACCTAGTGCTGTATTGCCTTGTAGAACACTTAATAGGTTCCAGAGTCAGGTAGAATCCATACATACCCCGGAATGCCAGACAAGATCTCCATGTCATTTGCCCTGGCCTAATCCAAAGACCAGCCCCTCTTATGCCCTTAGACATTCAACTTAGTTGTAACTACTGTGTTTCTGTTACAGGGCAAAAAAGGGTCCTCAGGTTTTCCAGGGCTTAAAGGATTCCCAGGAATTAAGGTAATGTTGGGAAGTAAAAATCCAGGATTGGGGAGGTGGAAGGATGAGGAAATAACATAAAGGCTGTTTAGTCTGTTTGGGCTGCTATAACAAAATATCACAGATGGGGTGGCTTATAAACAACAGAACTTTATTTTTCACAGTTCTGGAGGCTGGATGTCTGAGATCAGGGTGCCGGTATGGTTGGGTTCTGGTGAAGGCCCTCTTCTGGCTTGGAGAGTCGCTGATTCTAGCTGTGTACTCACGTGGTGAAAAGGGCAAATTAGCTTTCTGGGGCCTCTTTGATAAGGGTGCTAATCCCAGTCATGGGAGCCCTGCCCTCATGACCTGATCCCCTCCCAAAGGCCCCACCTCTTGATACCATCCCCTTGGGCATTAGGTTTTCAACAGGAATTTGAAGGAGTGGGGATGACACAAACATTCAGACCAGAGCAAATACCTACATAGCAGATGAAGTATTTTTTAATATTTTGACATTTTAGATGTTACTCTTTTCACATGGAATACATGCAATCAGTTTCAACAACACAAAGCTGATGAGCATTCATTAACTGCTACTTGATTCATGGTAGACTAAAAGGTTGGGGAGTGGCCTGTGGGAGCAAATCCATCCCTACAGGAAGGAATATTTTATTTTTGACATTGTTTAGAATTGCCAACTTTTCGGTTGTATTATTGTTTTTAAATTCTCTACAGACAATGCATCCCCTTATTACCTGCACCTGGGGCAAAGAGCTCCCATCCCCCCACCCAGGATAGGCCACTGTATCTGATTCTGGTGCCTGAGTCCCTCTCTTGGGAGAATGAGGACTCCTTTGACTGCCTCTGCCTGCCATCACCCACTAACAAGGGCAGTGACAGCAGCAGAATCCTAGGCATGCTGAGGGTGGAAAAAAAGTGAAACTCTTCTCCCCTTAGCACATCTGGAATGCAGCCATGTTGTCTATTCCTGTGATGTTTCCTAGGCCTAGAAGCAGACTGTCCAGGAGTTGAGGTTGCAAAATAAAACTGGTATCCCTTGTCTTTGACAGGTTGGCAACTGAGTGTCAGGACTCTGACTGCCTTATCACCTTCATCTTAAAGTTACTGGACTTTGAAATTAACCTATAGACTAGTTGGAAATAGGGTTACAGAAGTAGAAAACTTTCATTTCCTGGAAAATGGCTTCGAAGGGCACATAGATCTTGGGTGGCGCAGTCGCGGAAATATTTGTTTAATGTATTTAATCTTTGCAGGGTGAAAAGGGTGGCGTTGGCCTGCCAGGCCCAGATGTTCTCATTGATACAGATGGTGCTGTGATCTCAGGTGCAACTTCTCATTGATTTGAGTGGAGAAGAAAAGACGGACAGTTAAATTCTATATTCCTTGTAATTGTTAAAAGGATACTTTGTCAGCCACTGAACTGCTACTAAACTGGACGTTCCCAAGGGCTGTGCGGGGGTCCTGAAATGGGGAAATTACGCTAACTCCAATATCTTGGGCAAAGAGGCCAAGCCCCACACTCCGTTTTTGTGTCAAGTCCACCAAGACTAGGATTTGGGTCACCCTGGGCCTGGATTTGCTAAGAATGATTCTCTTAGTGATGCTTTAGGAAGGACTGATATCCTCCCCAGCTAGGATGACTCAGACCAATGCCATGGAACACTCAGGGTCTTAACTACTTGACCCCACATATGCTTGAGCTTGGCAATTTCACAGGCAGTGGAAAAGTATCTGGCTAGTGGACAAGTAGTTGACAGCCCTCCACAGAATGATGCTTTGAAAGTTTGTCTTTACCTCTGCTTGTTCTAGTTCCCACATGTGCCCAACTCTTCTCTTTGCCTTCTCCAAAGATCCAGATGCCTGGTGTCTCCAGCTACTACTTGCCTGACCAAAGGCTTCTACTATAGTGTCTCTTCCACCTGAGTTCACTAACTTATCCCTCTCCTCTTAGCCCCTCAGGCCATGCCCTGTCTGCTAAACTCAACTGAATCTGAGGTGTTAGTGATTGACAGCAGCTTCCTGTGTTTTACTCCCAGGAAAACTATGTATATAACCTAAATAGTACACTTCAGTACCTTAACCTAAATGGTAGACATTTGAGGCATATGGCAAATTAGTAGTAGTAGAAGAACCTTCCCAGTACTTACCAGTTCTTATCATGGAAAACAAGTTCTGGCCAGACCAGTTCTGAACATTAGTGGAGCCTTACCTGAAGTAGGCCCATTATCACGGGAGGCCATTAGCATCTGGGAGAACTACGAAGGGCAAGAAAGGCACTTCTAACCTGAGGACATCTTCTTGCAACTCTTCTTAGGCATTTTGTGGCATGTGTGGGCTTCCTCTGGGTTTGCTTACTGCTTTTTTTTTTTGTTGCAATGCCAGGTTATCCTGGAGACCCCGGTATGCCAGGCCTCCCAGGCCTTAAAGGAGATGAAGGCATCCAGGGCCTGCCTGGCCCTCCTGGCAGCTCTGGCTTACCAGCTTTACCAGGTGAAAGAAGCTAACCCACCCCTTGCACAGATCGGTCCTCTACCCACTCTGGTGCCTAGCAGTCTCTTCCATACTTCTGGTCTGGGTACATATCTAGTCAGTAGAAGAAAGGTAGGCTATAGTCAGTCAGTGGCCCACTGCCTGCCCAAGGCTACTGTATATGAGGTTAGTGCCTGGGTGAGCAGCTTTCCTTTGGCCTCAGTAATGTGCCATAGCTAGACAGGAGGTCCCAGGCTGTCAGTGAGGTTCACAGCACCCAGAGGGAGCCTTGTTGCTCTTCTGGGAATGTGCCCTCACACTGATGCTTGCCAGAAGGGGTGGGCAAGAGCCCAGGGGAAAGTTCATACCCACATCCTCCCTCTGTGTTTAACTCAGGCACTAAATGGCCCCAGAATTCTATGGATGACACCCTTGAAAGAGTCACTGAAGGGGCATACCCGTATGCCATTCTGGAGCAGTAGACAGAGAAGAGGCATGCTGGAGTCTGCAAGGCCGTAATATCCCAAATAGCAAACCTCAAACACTACTTTTAAAAGACACCAGTTTCTAAATTCCTTGGAGATGGGCCTCTGTAAGGATATCTGTGCTTTTAAAGCAACCACTTAGAGGAGGTACAGCTGATCCCAGCATGAAGGTGGAAAACAATCGAGAAGTGGGTGCATGGAGATCCAGGTATCCCTCTCAGGTTTGCCACTAAGAAGCTCTGTGCCCCTGACCACGTTTCCTCATGTTTTGGGGCTTCATTTCCCAAGGCATTAGGCTGGATGGTTCCTAAGGACCCTTCTAACTCTGAGGCAAGAGAAGGGGAAATGCTTTCCCAAATGTTCGCTTGAAGTTAGTTTCCAATGTATGCCACTGACTGGAATAACCCTGAAGCGCAGAGTGATATGATTAGCATTTTTCTGTGGGCTTATCCTTCCAGGTGTCCGAGGTGCCCTAGGGCCCCAGGGAGTTCCAGGTATGAAGGGGTACCAAGGAAACCCAGGCCACTCCACAGTTGGGGCAACTGGTCTCCCGGGAAGAGATGGTTTTCAAGGCCTACCAGGCCTACCAGGCCTGCCTGGTAAGTTGTTCGTTTCTCTCTTTGGTCTTGAGGTTGCATGACTGCAGAACAGTCATGATTTCTGAGGAAGGGAGCATTTCACAGGTGGAGAAGCTAAGCCAGGATACATGATAAGTGCAAAGGGACAGTGATGAAAGCCCTGTCCTCTCTGAGTCAGAGCCCTGCTTGTACAGGTTAGCGACTACAGCAGTCAGAGTGTCCATCAAGGGACAAGCAAGCTGGGGCCATCTCAATGACCAAACACTACCAAATGCCTTCCAACTCTTGTATTCATTTCATTCCATCCTTCACTGTTCTCAGCCCCTAGGCCTCTGGCCTTATAGCTCCGGAAGAAGTAGCACTGGCTCTTTCAAGCTTTCCCTGGTCCTCAGGGCTCTAATGCTGTGGGCTAAGAGCTTGAGACACGGGAAGCCAAGCCGGGCTCCTCAAGACAGCTACTAAAAGCCTCCACAGGGCTTCTTCTCCTAAGATCATCTACCTGAGTACAGGATTCTAGATTCTAAGAAAGACTGGAAGTATGCCCAGCATGTTTCTTTGCAACCTAAATCCCATGACCGTTGATTGCAGCTTATGTCCATTTCCTTTTTTGACCTAAGAGGACTTTCTGAGACAGAATTGGGACTGTTAGTTACTGAAGCTGCCCTGGTCATTCCTTTATTCCCAGTGGCTAGCCCAGTGCCTGGAACATAGCAGACATTCTGTAAGTAGTATTAGAGTGAATTAAGCCAATGGAGGATGGACTTGCTATAGACCCTGGGTCCCTGTCTTGGATTTTTTTTTTTATCTCTACTCTGGTTTTTGAGACCTAAGGACACAGGCCTTGGTGGCTGAGCTGCTGTGGCTATGCTGAGTCAAATGGGCCCAGGCTCACATAAAGTGCCAATCTTTTATGTCTCTTTTTCCTGAAGGTCCAGCATTTGACACTGGAACCCTACAGAACACAGAGCCAGGGTTCCCTGGTCTCCGAGGAGAACGAGGTCCAAAAGGACACCCAGGCCTCAAAGGAATAAAAGGTCATTTTGTCCCATTGGGTTTCTTTGTTCCCCAAACCTTTGAAGAAGGCTTTCCGAGCACTGAGCAAACCAGCAGCCTTGAGAACCTGAACAGAAGCTATTTGGGATTCAAATAGTTTTTCAAAATTTGATTATAAAATTGTTGGAAGTGTTCTATTTGGAGCTCTAAGACTAAGGCTAACAATGGAGGTCACACAGGACAAAGTGGCTCACAGGCTTCTCTTCCTGCTCCCTCCACCCGAAGAAGCTACTGCCCACAGACTAGGGTGCTAACCGAACATGCCACAACCTCTCCCGGTTTGCAAGGCCAAGGCTCTAAGTCACTCACTTATCATTGCCTTCAGCCTGAGGGAAAGGGCTCTGAACAGGTCAAAATCTGGCACTCTGAAAAAGCCAACTGGCTTCAGGAAAACAACTCTAGCCCCCACTGATGCTGAAGGACAGATTGATTACCCCAGCTCGGCTGCACCGTTATATCTATCTCCTTGCTGCCTTTGCGTCATTCCTCCATTTCATACTCAAGGGATGATGTTAAAGCTCAGATAAACCAATTCATTATAGTGGCAGCCCAGGCCAGGGTGGAGGAAGAGGTGAATCTACTGGCTGAAGAAAGGTATGGGGATGGCCTGAGATCTCCCTTCTTCTCTCAAGGAATTAACAGCTCTCCTTAACCTTTAACAGAGAGGTCCTAACTTATCTCATTGCCCTGTTCATAAAATGTCACTACTTGAGTATAAGAGCTAGTTCAGAAGGTTTTGAAAGCCTCATCTCTACTGTTCAGATCCAAGGAAGACTATTTGGGGGGAAAGGACATTAAATTGCCAGTCTTGCCTTAGAATGTTAAGCTTGGCCCTTCCCTCCTGACTCGCTACACAGCTAGTGTACTTCTTGATACCATTCTCTCTCCTAAAAACGGAACATGCTCTAATGCTTCCCCTTCTATATTCCCATGGGACCACAAGGTTTTCTCTAAGTCTGGAATAGTGATAGTGATTCTCAAGTTTCATTGTACATGAGAATCACCTAGGGGAGACAACTAAAAATTAGATTCTCAGGTCTGGCTGCCTGAGAGTCTGACTGATTAAGCTGGGATGAAGCCCAGTGAGCTGTCTTATAAACAACCATGGTAGCTGACTCATGCAGGAGGTCCACGGATCACATCTGAGAAGTGCTAGTTTGGAGAACAGGCTTTTTTCCTCAGAGTTTCAGGGATTATCAATTCTCTAAAATAAGAGGAGGCCCTTCAGAATCTTAAGGGAACTCAAAGTCACCTATGTTGACCTCAATTCTCATTTTCCAGGTCATAAGCATGGAAGGTATAGGTGGCTGGGCTATGGTGCTAGTGACTCCTTGATACCTCTTCAAAGGTGCTTTGCCGAAATCCCTATCATCAGTTTATTTGGCATTTGTCTCTGTGTGCAAAAGACAGGGGAAAAGAAACTTTGGTGAAGAGAACTGCTGGGCGGCTTGGATTCCAGACTCTCAGTTGGTTAGCATAGGTCAGTGGTTCTCAACTCTGGCTGCACGTTAGACTCTGATGGCTGGGCTCCACCCCAGACTAATGAAATCCAAATCACCCACACAAATGGACTTCGATGGAGACTAAACCTGGTGCGTTTGAGCCAGTTCTCTGCAGCCTTCTGATTCCTTCCTTGGAGTTGTTCAAGTCACAAATTACCACTGTCAGGTCTTCTTTCTTCTTGGAAACATGGTCCACTTTGTCTAATGTTATCTTTTTTCCCCCCAGGGGACTCAGGGTTTTGTGCTTGTGATGGTGGTGCCCCCAACACTGGACCACCCGGGGAGCTGGGGCTGCCTGGGCCACCAGGTCTCGTGGGCCTTCCAGGCATTAAAGGAACCAGAGGAGATCCAGGCTCTGGGGGTACACAGGGCCCTTCAGGGGCTCCAGTAAGTCTTGCAAAACTTTGGCCCTGAGGGAGCAATGGGAGATTTCAATGCCTCTCATTCCTCACCAATCACTTTCCTAAAACACATAAAAGAAGGATAGGAATAAAACAAAGCTTCCAGTTTTTGATGTGTAATATGGAGAAATCTAACTGGATCTCTAAAGTCCCTTTCTTCTTTAACCTACCTATGTTTCCTCCCTCCTTCCCTTGCCCAAGATTATCTACATTTGCCAAGCACTGTACTGGGGCCCTGAGGATAAAATTGGAATTAAGGCAAGGTTACCATCTTCAAAGATTTCAAATTTTAGGAAGGATAAGGAAATAAACGGGCAATTATAATCCAAGATGACAAGATAATCAAGTGCCCAGAACAGTGCCACAATGTACCCAAGGACCTATTTTAGGTGAAACCTATGCTAGGTGCCAGAATTCTATGATGTCTGCATCTCCTGATCATTCCCTTTTATCTCTTTGTCAGGGTTTATTTGGACCTCAAGGTCCCGCAGGCCCCAAAGGAGAGAAAGGGGACCCAACCATCACTACAGAATCAGGGATGCCAGGGGAGCAGGGTGATCTTGGCTCCCAGGGACTCCCTGGTCCAATAGGAGCTCCGGGCAAGGCTGGAATACCAGGTTTCCCAGGTCTGCCAGGCCTTCCGGTAAGTTGATCATTCCTGGGTGATTAGCTCCATAAATCCTCACATCTGACTTAGAGGGGCTTCTGATGGCCACTAGACCATGAGATAGGGCAGACCAGAGTCCAGAGCATCAATTCCTTCCTCTGCCACTGACACTGTTTGTTCTGTATGTTTCCTTTCTGTAAAATAGGACTCTTTCTCAGAATGGGTCATTGTCTCATTTGATAAATGCTGGTAACAATTGACCACATCATTTAAAATGCTTCAGCTTCTCAGTACCTTCCCCTTGCAAGTAATCCAGCTGCTTTCTGTGACCCCAAGTCTTATCCCACTCCTATTTCCTGCCTGACACCCACCCTGTCAATTTAGAACCTTTTGCATTATCAGATCACCCAAGGTTCACAAGCTTCATTCCCACTATATAAACTCCGAGGACTTGATTGATAAACTAGAGTGACAGAGAATTTGAACACAAAGTAAAGCACTGGTCACACTGGTTACCTCTTTCCTATGGTCAGAGGACTCTCCAGATAAGACTCTAAGGTGGGCTTTCATTCTTTCTTATGTGTTCTCTAGGGTGATGGTGGACCGGGCTTCCCAGGTGAAAAGGGGTTTCCAGGACCTCCTGGTGAAAAAGGCCATAGTGGTCCAACTGGCCCCCCAGGAATTGGGCTACCAGGATCTCCTGGACCTCGTGGGCTTCCTGGAGATCAAGGCATCAATGGATTACCAGGGCAACAAGGCCTCCCTGGGCGTCCAGGTGAGTCCAGGAATCAGATGGCTTTGAACTTGGAAAACTGTCCCCTTGCAGAGTATAGATATGACCCAGGTGCATGAAGAGACTTAGCTGGTTATAATCACTATTTTCAATCTTCTGAAGGGTTTTCATGTGGAAAAAGAATCATCTACTTGTACTGTGGTACACTTACATAAAACAGTATAGACTTCAGCTCTACTTAGTGAAAAACTTCTAACAGTGTAGTCTGAAAATGTGACAAAGCTATTGTGGGTGGTTATGAGCTCACAATCCCTGGAAAATTTCAAGCAGAAGCTAGATGACCATTTATTACAAGTGCCATCTGAGGATTGAGTGCGAGTGTAGACAAGGTGTCCTTGAAGTTGTTTGGTAATATCATCAGGGAAGAACGTTTCCTTGATTCACAGGATCTCAGATTGAGGAGAGACCCTAGTTGTATGTAGTCTAATATCCATTTCATACCTTAAGTCCCTTGCATTTATATAACTTTCTTTTCCACTTGAGTTTCAGTAGTTAAAATCAGTGACAATCCTGCTTACAGATTGTGAAGGGACTGTGCTAATAAATCACCCTCTTCTGTATAACCAAAACAGCTCTTCATCCCAGTTTCTGTTTCCACAACTTCTATATTTCTTAGCGGTACTACACTTATAGTCATCTGAAGTTTGAAAGCTTGGAATTTATCTCTTATTCTTCATTTTCAATGATTCTTATGTTCTTCCCTTCCTCTTCTTGCTATTAAGCTCTCATTATCTCATGCTTAGCTTATCAAATAACTATGTATTTGTTGGAATAAATGGATGGATGGATGGATGACTGGGTGAGTGAATGACAGCAACTTCCTAAATAGTTTCTCATCTCGTACCTGCAGACTTCCCCCACTCAATTCTACTATGAACACTGCTGCTAATTAATATCTGTAAGCTACTGATATCATGTTACTCTCTTACTCCAAAGCCACAGATGGTCTCTGCTGAATATAGGATAATGTCCAAACTCCATAGCCTAGAATTCAAAGGTCTCCAAACATGAACACAACCAACCTTTCTAAACTACCTTATCTTACACTTTTCATGATTTAAAAAAAATATAAGACAACAGAATTTTTCACTGTTCCCAAATACAGTATATGCTCATTTCCAACTCCAAGATTTTGCCCATGTTGCCTTTTTTCTGGAATGCTCTTCCTCTTTTCTCTATGTGGTCACATCCCATCCATCTTTCAGGGTTCTATATAAGCCCTACTTCTTCCACTAAGCCTTCCCTTGACCTCCACAAATGTCATTGACAGTTAAATCTTGCATTTCCTTCCATTAATGCTTTTACTTTCCCCAACTGCATTGTAAGCCTCTAGATACTAGGGAAGGGAATCCAAAAATTACTCCATTTCAGAGCATAATACTTTTTAGTGTTTCCCCACCTGCCTAGTGTAGTGTAGTGCAGTGTTCCATAGGAAATTAACATACACTTAGAGAAAAAAGGGCCTTCGCAGTAACAGAGGGGCTATGTCTTAGACCTATTTCTCCTCTTTCTACTTTGTCACCTTGAAGAATTACAAAAAAGAAGACAGGTACCAGGTCTTGTAAAATTTTACTGATTTTAAAATCTACTTTTGTGAAAAGGATGATGGTACAAGTTAAAAATCAATGATTCAAGATTGTTAAAACCAAATCAGTTTTTCAACTCACAAATTCCGATGAAGGCTGTGAGGGGTTTTATCAGATGAATCATTATGCCTTTTGGAAGTCCTCGTGTCAACTCTAATTTCGTTTCCAGCTCTGTTCCCAAAGACATTACTTCGTGGTCATTCTACTGGCCCTCCACCAACTGGGTCTTCATTCTAGGTCAACTCATTTTGTAGGCCACTGGGGTTTAAAATGAGTTAAAATAATGTGGGACCAAAAACTTAAACATAAATCTGTGTATTGTCAACATTCCCACTGCTTGTAAACAGGCTGGGTCAACAGAAGGAAGCCCATGGGACCATTTCTATCCTGAACTTCCCCAGTCCCTATATAACTGAGGGGCTGTGTCTTAGACCTAGTTCTCCTCTTTCCACCTTTCCACAGAAAGTTCTCAGGAATATAGTGATATACTAAGCTGTAGCCTGGGTATTGCCTTATGTAGAAATTGTTCTTGTTGCAGTACCAAGACTCTCCAAAAAATTACTTCATTTCAGAGCATTAGCTTTGTTCGCTCTCTACTGCAGCCAAATGTAACTCCTTAAACCTGGCTTTCTTTCCACACAATTCCAAAAGCACATAACCTATGGGCCCCAGACATTTACATTGTGGTCATTACTGTTGCTATGAAAAATGGAGATGTTGTTCTTAAATGTACTCACTCCAACCAGTGGTGGTCCGGGCTAAGACAGCTGCACTGCCAGGAAAGGGAATGTAGTCATCAGAAGCTTTTCAAGCCAGTAGTGTGAATTAGTATAAACTCTGGGCAAGGAGACAACTGGCTGTCTCCAAAGAGGCTCTGATGCAGACGCTCATAGTAATCAATCACCCCAGTTATTAGGGAAGCAGCTACTGTGTCCTTGACCCTACGTGGGTGCCAGCTCTCTCCACTTCATCCAGACAGCGAATTTGATTGGTGTACATACTGGGGCTGCAGACAAGACTTCCTTTGGGCCTCCAGGCACTTTTGTCCAGGTTTAATTTTCTTCTTTACTTGATTGGTCCAGGTGACTGCTGCTGCAGGAAGAAGGTTGGTGAAGGAGACTTAGACCCAGAGGGAGGTGAGAACTAGCTAGGTCTAGAGGTTCCCCGGCACAGTGTTGGCATGCCCCCTTCCTTTTTGTTCACCTTTATCTTAGACACTCACAATGGCTTGAATGCCACATTGGAGCGCCTGGCTGGGGAGGAGAGATCCTAAGGCTGGGGTGCAAAGGCTCACACTGACACTGCTTCCGAGGTTCCTCAGCACATCCCTCCTGGGACGGAGGACAGGAGTGAATGGGCACGCAGCCTCTTGCAGCAGCTGATTTCCTTCACCATGCATGTTGATGGCTTGGCTGACCTCTACCTTGAGCACCTTCACTTTATGAACTTAACTGGGGCCATGGTTTGCCTTGGGAGTTACCTGGAAGAATCCACATGTGTCTAATACTTAGTCATTGGACCTAGAGTAAACTAAGATGCTAGAATCTTGATAACCAGAGGTGCTTTTCATTTGGAAGATGAATTTTGGCATTAAATGGGGAACATTCTGTATAATTAGATCATGGGTTGCACTTACCAGAGAATGGATAGAGCTGATTTCTGCTTTGTTGGGGAATACGTCTCTTTACATCTCAGAGATGTAAAATTGAAGGCAGAGATAAAGTAAAAGAGCCAGATACCAGAATGACTTGAAGTCCTTACCTTCTCATCATTTTGACCCTCTGCCTGAAATACTCAAGTGTGGTGTGGTGGGCTGTACAGGACAGGGCTAAGGCAAAAGGGAAATAGGTCTTTGATTTCCTCTGGTTTCTGCTCATCTTCCTTTATGTCATTATTTTTTCTGTCCTGGGACCTTTCCAGATGCTGGTCCTTGGCCCCATCGTCCAAGTTTTGTTTGTAATCTGGCTGTCACAGGTGAAAAGAATTTATGCAACTGATCTGATAAATTGAGGATGGATGGCTTCATGTTTGGACCCAGCCCAGGGATATTTTTATTTTACCCAGTTTGTTTTTTAAGAGGTTAAGCAATGGAACTAGTGTTTGACACATTGGAACCAGTGGGCTATTGAAACAGCTGGGGCATGGGAGTCGTCTACAGGACCCCTCTCATGATACCACCTAGGGGTAGGGAGGCAGTTCTCCAGCCTAGGCCAAATGACCCAGGCCCAAGCCGAGCACAGGATGGACAGACCTTTCACAGTGAAGCACCTCATCATGAGGTGCTTGCCCATACAGCATATTTCCATAGCAGGAAAATAACCCTCAGAAACAGATCCATCATCTTAATGACTGACAGGGTGGAGATGGATGTGACCCCGCCCCCCTCCCCCGCCCCATGCAGGAAAATCAGGTCTATGGCCATCTCCCCGCCTACAGAAATATGACTATGGGAGCCTGATGTCTAGAAGGCAAAAAGTAGCCCACTTCTTCTATTCCTCAATCAAAATTGGGGATCGAACAGTAATAATGTATGGTTAAGGAGCTGGGCTCTGAAGCCAGGCATACCTGACCTTGTATCCTAGTTCTGCTACTAACTAGTTGGTAGATACTTAACTTCTCTGAGCCTCAGGGGTAAAATGGGAGCTAGTTATCTACACAGGCTACATAGTGGCGACACTAACCTGACTGAGGTTAAAAACTAGGGATGGCCTTGCAGGAGTTCCCCTGAATACTCCTCTTTAAGTAAAATTTAAAAACATACTCAGTGAGCACACACCGGGTGCCAGGCACTGTGCTTAGTTCTGTTAGCATTATTTCATATAGTCCTCATAAACACCATCTGAGATAACTAGCTCCTATAGAAGTGGGTTTGGAGGAGGAATGCCAGCAGTTGAGTAAGCAGTCTGAGTCATAGTCTGCATACCTAACTTTGAGAAATGCAATTTGTGATTTATTTTAAGTGCAGGCAAAAGCTATAGTACTTTATTAGCACTGTTGGCTCTGCTGCTTAAAGCAGACCTTGAGGGATTGTTTTAATGAATAGGCAAGACCAATTTTAATTAGCAGAGCAATTGTTTGTAAATGGCACTTGAGGGAGCCAACAAACAATTCAGCAGTATTTTATTAAACCTCCCCTCTGTGATCTTACAGGCTCTTTTTATTTGCATTATGAATGAGCAAGGAAGAATTTGCTAGGAGAAAGGCCGTGCATGCCAATTTCAATGTCTTGAATACTGGAATTGACTTCCTCTTTTCCCTGAGTAGCAGAGTCAACATTTCAAATGAGGAGCTGAGAGGAGGGCCTTTCATAGCCCAGAGAGTAGCCTTCACTATTTTCCTGGTACAGACATATGGGTACATCTGACCAACCACAATCCGTAGGTTTCAGTAGATCCAAATGAGGTATGTCGAAATAACCTAAAGGTTGGGGAAAAAGCCTGATTCCAGGAAAAAGGCTGACATGTGAACTTGAAAGGTCTTGGCTTCAAACTCTCCAATCTAGTCGTGGGCATAATGGACCCTAGGACTAACCCCAGGCACCCACCTGAGGGAAAGAGGCTCCATCTGAGGGCAGAGTGAAGAGGCAATTGACGTTTGCTGATGTTCCTTCGTGGGTCACCTCTGGGAAGCCTGGTTAGGGAGTATCCATGGCATAGATAACTGCCCATTGGACACTGATGGTTTGGGAGGTGATGCCCTGTGGCACTTGGACATGATGAACGGTCTTACCTTAAGGAATTTCAGTAGAATAACTCCCAAGAGATTCTGATACCAGGATTTTTCTGCATGGGCTCTTAGCTGCTAGGTGGGAAGAACTTCATCGTCCCATTTGATGGAATGGGAGGAACGGAGCATGCTAGGTGGAAATTGTCTGTGACTCAGTGGGTTCGCCAGATGCTTACATATTACCATTTACAGGGATCACCTTGCCTTGTATTATTCCTGGGTCATATGGTCCATCAGGATTCCCAGGAGCTCCCGGATTCCCAGGTATGGAACAAGGCCAGAGAAAGCCACTGAGCACACTTGTAAGGACCATGAGCCAAAGGAAGCAGAGGATATCCCAGTAGCATTTGGGGATCCCCATTCATTCTAAGAGGGCAGTGTTAAGTATTGAGGAAATAGAATGGCTGCTGGAGAGGGTTGTGTGGGGAGGTGAGGGTAAGAGAGGCCCTCCAAAAGACCCGGATATTTGATAGAATGTCACAAATCATACCGAGCTACACTGACTTTGCTTCCTCCTCACCACTCATATTTGGGTTTGCAGGCCCTAAAGGGGTTTATGGTCTCCCTGGGAGTCCTGGCCAACCTGGATCACGTGGTAATAAAGGAAAGCCCGGAAGTCCAGGATTGGTTCACCTCCCTGAATTGCCAGGTAAGGAAAGGAGCTTCTCCTTACCTGCTCCTCCTCTTGTGGAGGGTATATCTGCGTTGTAGTAGCCCTCCACCAATTATAGGGCCTTAGGTTTGTGCTCTGGTATGGGTGGGATGGTTCTGATTTCATACTCAGGCAAGACAGAGCGGAGAGCTAGAGAATGATAGCATACAGAGCAATAAGGGCCATTTGAGATCAGCTGGGACAACCCCTTTGCTTTTAGATGGGAAATTGAGGCTCAGGTGGAAAGTGACTTCCCTGAGATCACAAAGCCACTAGTGACAGAGGTAGGACTCTGCCAGGTTGTCTGACTGCCAGTCCTATGGCAGTTTACTGGGTCAGCTCCTTATAGGTCAGAGAGTGAGATTCAGATGAATCACAGGAAGTTGTCCATTTCTAGCCCTTTGCTCATACCCTGTCTTTCCAAACTAAGCTTCATTGTTCTACACTCCCCCAGTGTCTCTCAAACTGTGTTCCCTGGGCCAGCAGCATCAGCATCACCTGGGAACTTGTTAATAAGGCAGATTCTTGGCCCCTTGGCAGAACTGCTGAACAGAAACTCTGGGGGTGGGGCCCAGCAATCTGGATTTTACCAAGCAATTCTGCCCCCTGGTGGTTTTGACCTAAGCTCAGTTTGAGAAGCACTCCCGCTCCATAGCTCAGGGCTCATCTTGGGCCACCGGACTCGGGGTTTATTGATGCCTCAGTTCCCTCCACCATCCAGGAAGAGAGGAGCATGAGAGCGGGGATAGATGACCCCAGAAGAGACTGGGCCTTTGACAGGAGGTCTTGGGTGTAACCTGTGCTCTTCGGCCACTGTAGGAGTCCCAGAAGCAGCAAGTTCTCCCAGGACCACAGACTCCTGACCTTCAACAGAAAAGGCCCACATTATTAATATGTTAGCTTTTGTAGTGGGAAAAAAACCTCTCTTAGAGATCTCTAACCAGACCTATTGCTTCTAAACTTCCATGGCTTTTTATTTTTGCCTCTTTACATCTAGGATTTCCTGGACTCCATGGAGAGCAGGGCTTGCCAGGGTTTCTTGGGCTCCCCGGAAAAGATGGCTTGCCTGGGGAAGGTGGAAGTCCAGGCTTACCAGGTTCCAAGGGAGCCCCTGGTGACATCCTTGGTGCTGAAAATGGTGCTCCAGGGAAGCAAGGCCTACCAGGGTTGCCAGGGGACAGAGGATTTTCTGGAGATACTGGCCTTCCAGGATCCAAGGGTAACTCTTCTGCCTCGCTTGTTTAACAATCTATAGAAAGCCTTTCAGTGATCAGTATACTTGCATGAGTCTGGGGAGATGTATTAATTAGGGAGCTAAAATGAAAAGTCATTTTATTCTGTCCTTCCCTTTTTGGAACATTTCTTTAAATTGTCTGAATCCATTCTCCTATGTTAGTAATTCCAGAAGTAATCATAGCTCATAGTCAGATTCTTGCAAAACCACTGATTTACTGTTGGAAATAGCAGCAAGGCTGGAACTGAGACAACAGTGGCACCTGGGATGTTTCCTGGGCCAAGTTCTTCCACTGGAAGTTGGTTTGGTGACCAGTCACTGCTATCAGTCCAAGCTGTGATCATCTACCCCTTCCTTTCATTAGGTTTGCTTGGGAAGTCGGGCTTGCTTGGCCCCAAAGGTGAGCGGGGCAGGCCTGGAACACCAGGCCACATGGGCCCTCCAGGCACTCCAGGGTCTGGTGGTCTATTCGGCGTCAAGGGCAAACCCGGACTCCCAGGAGCACCAGGCTTTCCAGGCACTTCAGGTAGGTCTTACGGAGGAGGAGCCCCAACGTGACACACTTAAGCTAAGCCCTGGGCCCTGGCGCCCTGAGGGGCAATAATGGCAGAGTGACTTGGTCCAAGTCTAGAAACAGACTGACTTGCCTATCGTCTGAAGTTTCAAATCTCCAGTCATGCTTGCAGTGCCAAGCAGAGCAGATTTCAGCAGTTTAGCTTCCCAGATATCCCCACAAATCCCTCCCGGCCCCTCCCTGATGGCATCACCCCGCCTCCATGCTTTGGCCTCCCTCCTGCCTTCCCCAGCTAGGAAGGTGCCCTTGTGGCCGAGGTGGCTCTGGCCATCTGCACTGCCTTCACTGGGGCCATCGGGAGCCTGCTGTGGGTTGGGGGGAGAAGCTCGAGGAGAAGGTGACCACGTAGACGCCTGCCTGTCAGGTGAGCATGCCTCTGAGGACCCACGGCCAAAGTGGCTTTCACTCATCAGTGGGTCCTGACAGCCCCGGGTTCCAGCCTAGTGTTGGCAATTTGCCTTTCTCTTCACCACCCTCCTCACCCCGCCCCAAGGACCACGTCATCCCCGCTTACTCCTGGCCACGGGACTGAAGTTGAGGTTTTGCAGAGCCACTAATATCCTGTTTATCTCCTTTGTCCTTCCGTGTTTCTGGGCATAGGCTGTGCAGGTGAGAAAACGGCATGCAGGCTCACAGACTAACACTGCCACAGCTTTGCTGCTCAGGGAATTATCTTACTATGCACTATAACCCAGCAAGGCCAGGGGTCCCTGAACTCACGCTGTGGGGTTGGCCCCATTGAATTCCCTTCCCTTTTTGCAGAATCCCCTTCACAGCCTCCCATTAGAATCCTGGGGCTTGCAGCTACTTGATGCTTTTCAATCCATAGAAAGCCAAGTCAGCCATTCATTTAGGTCCTTGGGGGCCCAAATACCTCTGTCGTCCCTGATTTAATCCTTTGCTTTTTTAATTTCCTTGCTTTGTACCTGAACATTCCACTTTGGCAGCAGCTCAGGAGGTTAATCCCATTGACCAATTTAAAGCATGGTGAAAGAAGTGTCAGAATGCTTAGGAGACCAAACGGCCATGGGGATTTCCACAGTCCTTGGCACTAGGGGGTCTTTCAACCTTAATGCCAAGGAACTGGCTGACTTAACTGCTTGCATGAGGGATTAAAAGGGCAGCCCTGTATCCATGGCTCCCTGGGAGGCTGAAACAATGGCTCAGCTTTAACCTCTGCTTCACCGATTGGCTCAGGAAACAGCCATTGTGCCGTGATTCAGTCTGGAAGTACCAGGCAACTAGAGTCCAGTTGCCACCCTGGCTTCCCGGAGCTCCATTCAGAGGCTAAAGTATGAACCACATTCATAAAGGGGAAAGAGGTTATGATCAGAGGGGGTTTGCTTGTCCTGCCAGCCACTGTGCCATGCTGGAAATAATAGCCTTTGGCACCGTACTCTGAGTGGTAGGTGCTAACCCTTTGGCCAGCTAAGAACTCTGCCTGTTAGCCCATGTAGGTCATTGTTAAAGGGCCATTTACAAAACGCAACAAGCCAACCAACCAGAAGCCATGGGAATAGACAGTGGACCAAATCTGGACAAAGCCTCACTTGACAGCTATCCTGTGTTCTCTTCTGTGCTGATTCAGGACATCCTGGAAAGAAAGGTCCAAGAGGAGAGACAGGTCCCCCTGCACCACCTGGAAAGGGAGGTCTGCCTGGCCTGAAAGGCCTTCCTGGATCTCCAGGGCTAATTGGCTTCCTGGGGAACTCAGGCTTGCCAGGAGGCGCTGGGTTGCCAGGCCTGCCGGGTCCAAAGGGTAAGTGAAGGTATCAGGAAGGCAGCAGTGTGTGGCAAAGAGGAGCATCCATGCACCCAGCTTGCCCCCTACTCTGTGCCTGGGAAAGGAGAATGGGGAAGGAGGTGGGCAGGGCTTTTGCAGCAAGATCGTTGGACAAGGCTAGTGCTAAAGGAGGCCTCCCCACCCAAGGTGAGCCACCCTCACTGCCTGCTGGGTGGCACACTGAGCAGAACAGCATGGTCAGTAAAGCCCAGGACAGTAAGAGTCACACTTTGTTCATTCAATTGCTTGACCCCTGCCCACAACCTGATAGCTCTCATTTCCTGTGAGTGTCCTACTACACAGCAGCGGTTGGGCAGGAGGCATCTCCATTTTATACAGGGGGAAATGACGGGTCCAAGGCCACACAACTGGTTAGCAACAGGGCCAGACTAGGGCTCATCTCCCTGCCCCCCTGGCCCTAGACTTTTTTTTTTTTTCCTGTGCCACGTACGTGCTCTAACTTGGCAAATCATTAGAGAAATGCCCACCTCCTCTTTCTTTTCTGTTGCTTAGGGCCATAAAGTGGAAAGGCATAATATAATATGGAATTACTAAGAGCTTAGGCTTTGGAGTTAGAGAAATCTGGGTTTGAATCCTTTCTCTGCAACTTGCTAGTTGTGTGCCTTTGAGTGAGTTGTTTAAGCTCTCCGAGCTTCTATTTCCTTGTATGTTAAGCATACATAATAGAAGTTCTTGTTTCTCACCAGGTGAGAAGGGGTCTGTTGGACCAACAGGCTTTTCAGGCATGCCAGGTGTCCCTGGAATTCCTGGTGTGAGTGGATTAAAGGGAATCCCTGGGTCAGAAGGAAGAATGGGGCCATCTGGACTGGCTGGTAGGCCTGGTGAAAAAGGTAAGCTGGGGAATTGAATTCTGGAATTGCCACCCACTTATGCTTCCCAAGGTACATTGTTTATCAACTTTGTCATTCGTGTGGCTTATACCAACCCTCGTTTGGATAATAAGATTTGGGGCTCCTGAATGAAGTTCTTTTAACCCAAAAGACCTAATCACTCCTGTTACCACTGCGTGTTAGAGGCCTCATCATGAGTTCCCAGATGCTCCGTGGAGGAGGGTTTTGAGTAGGGTCTAAAGTTGCTGGTGGACTTTGGGCTTGTTGAAGGAGAGGGCATGCACACAAATGCAAAGTTGGGGAAACAGGCGAGAATGAAGCTGGGAGGGCCCCAAAAGAGGGCCCAGGGGTGGTGTGGGAAGTGCTGACATGAAAGGCCAGCCCATGCCTGACCCTGTGTCTAAGCTCCCTCTGATGTGGATATCATGGTTTCCCTTCCTGCAGGAGACAGAGGCAACCCAGGGTTACTTGGAATACCCAGTCCCAGACCTCCAATGCTGAAACTTCAGTTCAAAGGAGACAAAGGCTCTTGGGGCTCAGCTGGATCTGACGGATTTCCTGGGCCCAGAGGTGCTGGGCAGGGAAGGGCTAGGAGAAATGCCCAAGAAAGGTTTTACAGCCCAACTCAACTTCTGTCCTGAGAAAAGGTCCTGCAGCCTAAGGCCCCCAGGGCAGCTGCCCGGATGGCAGCAGGGGCACCAAGGAAGCTGCCTTCCCTGGGCCCAAGGGCTGCCTGAACCTTGGAGATTGCCAGTTTTCATTGCCACTGTGGAACCAAGTGTTTGAACCACAGGCTGTTGTGTCCCTGGAGGAGCCCGGCACGTAGTGGGGCACTGAGCAGCTTTCCCAAGGCTGGAGCTGGGGGGGCCCTGACCAGTGCCCCATAAGGCTGAAGGCTCCGCCCCACCCCTGTGCCTCTACCCCCAAGCTCACTGCCTGTTTGTGAGCCAGGGCACCTGCACCTTGGGGAGCAGATTTTCTCTAGCCCAGAGGCTTTTTCTGAGCCATATGCTTCTTTCCCAGGTGACAAAGGAGAGGCTGGCTTCCCTGGGCCACCAGGCTTGCCTGGACCTCCTGGCTTCCCCAGCACCGTCAAGGGACTTATTGGGAGACCAGGCCCCCCTGGCTCCACAGGACTCCGGGGCTTACCTGGCCTGAAGGGGTCCCCTGGAATCACAGGTTTCCCAGGAATACCAGGAGAAAGTGTAAGTGTGCCCAGATGTTTGTTCTCCACTAGGAAAGAGCCACTAGAACAGGAGAACATGACCCTGTTGCCCATCTTTCTCAACCCAGCCCTTTTCCCTAGCTGTCTCCACACAAACCTTCTCCTCGAGTTTGACAGGTCTTGCCACCCTTTCCTGGACATCCCGTCCTCTGAGCCTCTGTTCCTGTTACCTCCCCCATCAGGTATACCCTCCTTTGCATCTGCCTAATACCTGCTGTGCCCAGGCACGTGCTCTGCCAGGAGTCCCTGAGCTCCCCCGCTGCTGCCACACTACACTTCTCACTGCTTATATTGATTGTAGTTGGTTCTGCGTAGGTCTGATTTCCTCAGTGAGATTGTTAGGACTTGAGACAAAGAACTGTCTGATATGTTTTTTATCTGCACCCCCCAGCCCGCTTCCTCATTGAGTGTGGTACATCATTATGAATTTGATACTGACTTCTTAATGTTTTGATTTCAAGAAAGGCAAAGAATCAAAGCCAGTTTCTCTGGGTTCTCAGAAGGTAGGGTGGGAGAGTAATGTTAGCAATGAGACAGACTTGGCTTTGAATCCCAGCTCCATCATTCATTAGCTCTGTGATTTTATGCCTCTTGCTTAGCTTGCCTGAGCTTCACTTTTCTCATCTGTGAAAACTGGGGAATAATATTCAAACCTCCTTCACACAGTAATGAGGATTTAAGTGAGATGATACATGTAAAACACTTAAGATTGTATTTGGCACATGGCAGGCTCTGAATAAATAGTAGCAATAAACTAGTAGTATCTAAAGGACCGAATGAGCTGGATCACAGAACACCTGTGCTCCTTGCAGGCAAAGTCCCTGTCCTTTACAAGTGCCAGTCCATCTGGTGGAGAAAACACACACTTACACCCCCCTCCCACACCCCCCCCCACATCCCTGAAGCAATTGCAAAGGAAATAATTCTCAGCTGGATGCTCGTGACTACTCATGCACTAGGAAGGAAGGAATCAAAGTGGGAAGGCATTCTGGGAGGGGTTCCAGAAGGAGCAAAGGCTCAGAACCAGCAGCTGTGGCAATGTGCAGAAAAAGCCAGGTGAATGTGAGGGGTGCCCGGGGTGGTGGTCCAGTGAGCTCAGTGACCCAGTCCAGAACTCAGACTCCCACCCAAGGCACTAGGTGGCATGTCTTTACTGGGTACATCTCCAAATGAATCAAAACCAGGAACCAGGAGAAGAACTGTACTGATAGCAGCTGACATGCCCACCTCCCACGCAGAGCGTTGGACATTAGCCAGTGAAGGCAGGTTTTCTTGTAAAAATAGTAACATTAGCCCAAAGTCAGACTTCAGTACCTGCACATATACAGCCTGCTACCTGGGGGCAGAAAGACTTCATGTCCTTTGTGGAAACTGGCAAAGCTGGTTCAAGTGCCACAGAGTAAAACAGTTTTTCTTGTGCATAATGGCTCCAGAGCTTTGGCCAGAATGGTGGTAGCCAACTGGCTGCAGAGCATACCAAAGGCCTGGCCTGCTGTCATAGTCTGTATTTTCTAAGAGACTTGCTTTGAATGGCCACACCTTGATTTCCCAAGATTCCAATTTTGATAGGCTTTGGGAAGTTATGAATGACAAGTCCAGGATTAGTCTGCAGATGTAAAATCACTAAGTATGCATTTCTGCCCTGTACTCATCACCTTCCCCTCTGCAGGATGCCCCTGAGTCCACTCCTGCCAGAGTACAGGATAGACACATCTCAGGCACTTGTTCAGGGAAAGGATGGAGCTAGGAGGGTGGGAGGCCCTGAGCTCTGGGCAGAAATAACGATCCTATGTTGCTTTGAAGGGTTCACAGGGTCTCAATGGAGCACCGGGGCTCCCAGGAGCATCTGGTCTCCCAGGTTTAAAAGGTAGGGAGCATTTTCTCCTTTAATGTGTTTTTCCAGAGCAAGGTGGATTTCTAGTCAGCCCAGGGCTCTCCTGGGGAGACTCTGTGTTTAGAGGAAGGTGAATTGATTTACATTTCCCCTTTGGCAGTCTTTGGTCCTCAAAGACATGCGACAAATAGTGGTTTGACCCACCTGACTTCCAGACTCAGCAGAAGGAGAATCTTCCCCTGCTGAGCCCAGCCCACTGGGTCAGAAAACTTCCCATCCCTGCTGTCATACTGTTCCAGTCCAGTGATATTTTAGGGCCCCTCCTAGCATCTTCTCTGCTCATCCTGAGCCTTGTGATGTGCTTCCCAATGGAGATATCTACCTGTAGCAGCATTTCATGCCAGTAGCCTGGTAGCATCCCAGCCCTTTGTTGGTGATTAGTCACCTTTTGCCCAATGGGTAATTTTGTCAAGGAGTTCCTCTAGCTATATGGAATCTGCAAAGGTTTCACCTTCAAAAGATCTCTGCTATAAAATCAACTACAGCTTCTCCTGACCTCTTGAACAATGTCTTGATATCCCCAGGAGATCAAGGCCAGACTCTTGGAATTTCTGGTAGTCCGGGACCCAAGGGACAACCTGGGGAGTCTGGTTTTCAAGGTAAGCCTGCAGTATTTTTGCCTCATGTGTCTGCAGTATTTTTGCCTCAACTAAGGATCAGAAGGAGTTTTGGAGGTCAACCCCAAGTTCTGCAATGTCTATCCAGGGCAGAAAAATTCCTACTTGACATGTTTCCACTCACAGGCAGCCCAGTTTCCCCAAGCAAACCAGGCTACTGTTCCTTCAAGACTCATAGATTTATGGGATAAGTCTAAGACCTTTGGGGTAATGTCATCCACCCCCACCTTAGTTTATAGCGATCTAAACTGCTCCTTGAAGATTTCCACCTATTGCTCCTACTTCTGGGGGCACTCAGAACAAATTACTTTTCAACTGGGCAGCACCTTTCAAATGAGAAGACTGCTACCACAATCCTTTTCTGAGTTTCTTCACTGGCTCTAGCTCCCTTGGCCATTCCAGTGGCTCCACCTTCCTACTCACCCTCTTCCCTGGATGAGCACACTGCCTAAAATGTGGCCTGATCACTCAGCTTTTTTCTTGGTTTTGTAGGTGTGAAAGGAAAAGGTGGACCAGTTGGTGATGCGGGTTTTCCAGGAAACAAAGGTGAAGATGGAAAAGTTGGTATTTCTGGAGATACTGGCCTTCCTGGCTCCCCAGGTACCATGCCACTTGATAACTTTATTCTGATAAAGTTAGGATTAGCTTCAAGCCACGACCCATTCTGAACTTCTATCTTGGTTTCACTTTGAGGACTGCCCGGGATTCCAGGCATGAGAGGAAATCCAGGACTTCCAGGTCCTCCAGGCCATCCAGGGGCAACTGGGCCCCTGGGACCCCCTGGCTTAACAGGAACCAAAGGTGTGTGTGTTTTGGAGAAGGTGGTATGGGAAACGGTCCTTCCCTCAAAAAAGGACAGCAATTGCTTTATATTAGGAGACACTAGCTAGGGTAAAGCTATACCCTGGAGTATCATTAACTGGGCCTCATGAGGGATAATGGGAAAGGAGGATGAGGAGGAAGAAAGGAGATCAAGCTGAATGGGAAGAGGACAACACAGCAACCATGGGGAGAAGAGTTAGCAAAGAAGGTCACTGCATGGCATCTGTAGCCTTTCCCTGGCTCCAAGGTGGGGCAGCAAGTGTCTGGGAGCTGGTGACTCAAGGCCTTGGTGTTGCTACTCTGTTTTTCTTGAAGATACCTAATTATCCACCACCCTGCTCTTAAAGCTGGATTGGTCTCTAATAAGGGTCAAGAAAATCTAGATTGGTGGGTAGAGGTTAGGGCTGGTCCAGTCTCCCTTAGAGCATTAAGTAATGCCTCCAGAAGGGCCATGACCTTTCAAATGAGGACTTTGCAATGTTCTTGGGGTCAGGGCCTTTGCTGGCCCTTCATGATTCTAAGCTGCTGGAGCCCTCTCTGATATTCTGTCCCCTCAGGTTTTCCTGGATATCCTGGTTTACATGGACTGAATGGGCTTCCAGGAACGAAGGGGACCCATGGAAATCCAGGTAAAGAAGACACTCAGGGGCAAGGAGAGCACCAACTCCTCCAGAAGCCTGGTGGGGGCTGGCCATAAGTTCCAGACTGTGCTATAGCCCATATCCTTGGATTCACTGATCTCCTTGCCAGCTCCCAATTTGGGGTACTTTGATGTGGGGAGGAAGGAAGATGGGGTTTGTCCTTCTACCCAGAATGAGCTCTCCTTCCTGTTATTTCAGTACTCAGCCTCTGGTATCTGTCAGGCAGGCCCCCAACAAACGAGTTAGACATGAGGGCCTCACTCCCACTGTGTTCTATCCTCTCTCTGCATCTCCTCCCAGGACCTAGTATAACCGGTGTGCCTGGGCCAGCTGGCCTGCCTGGTCCTAAAGGGGAAAAAGGTTCTCCAGGAATTGACATCGGACCTCCAGGGAAGCCAGGCATGAGAGGACAAAAAGGAGGCCAAGGTAAGTAGCCCAAGTCAGGCCTTAGAGATGTTCAGTGAGGCCTGGCTGGGGAGCCAGGGTTGGGGTTCAGTAGGGCTATACAGCACATGGGCCTGGGCTGTGCCTGTCTTCACATCTCTAGGAATGTCAGAACCCAGCACAACAGATGCTGAAAAGGAGGGTAGGCCATGTCTAGGGCTTTCCTGCAAAGCACAGTCCGACAACAGTCACAGGGAAAAGCCCCCCAGCCTCCAGTTTCACTCCCACTCTCATTAGCCTCAAGGCCTCTCTTGCACACTTGGTCACTGGCTGAGTTTAATGTGCCCCTGAGGAACAGGGCTTGTGCACTTACTGAGAGGTTTGCCCGAAGTTCCTCAGTGTCCAGTGGGGATGGTACTCCCAGGGCCCTGGGAAGACAATGTGGCTGCTGGAAACAGCCCAAGACTTAGAGGATAAATGCCTCCCTAGGCCAGGCAAACAGTAGGCACTCAGATTTGTTGGGTTAATGGAAAGTAAGTTTTGCCCTAATCTCAGCCTCTGACTCATCATATTATCTGAAGTCCCTTTCTGAGCTTCTGTTTCCCCATTTCAAATAGCGACAATGAATTCTAATTTTTTAACTCCCCTTAGGAATGTTCTGAAGACCCATATATACCCCACTCAATGTAGAACACAAACTTACTGGGGCATCACAGCCAAGAGCATGGGCCCTAAAGTCAGACCACTAGATTCATTCCAGCTGTACCTCTCATTAGCTAGACGACTTGAGCAAAGAAGTTACTTGCCCCTCAATCCCAAACGAGCCTTTAGTTTTGCTTTTCTGTAAAATGGGCATAATAAGACAATCTACCTGATAGGTTGGGTGAGGAATCAATGTGGAATGAGGTAATATATATGAAAGGACTTACTGCAGTGCTGGCACATAGTAGGTACTCAAGAAATGGCTGGCCATTATATCATTACATTGTTACCTGGGGAAATCATCTTTGCAAAATGTGCTGTCCCTCATAATCCTGGGGGACCTGAGGTCCCATCACATTTTATTTGTTTATGCGCGTGTTTGTATAACATGCATTATGTTTCCCAGGAACTCTGTTCATACATTAATTCATTTTCTGCTGCATTTTATACCGGTGCACCTGCTGCCTCTGTGTTTACTCTTTCCTTTGGCCTGGACCAATCTGTTCTTTTCAGAAAGCCAGCAGCTTCCCCAGAGAGAGGGCTCAAATAGGATCTGAGTCAGCAGAGAGTTTACGTAGCTTCTTTCACAGGAGAGAGAAGAGGAGACTGAAGAGAAGCACAGAGGCATTTGCCTTTTTGGTTTTCAAAACTTGACAATGAATACCTGCCTGGCATTAAATTATTCATTTCCTTTAGCTATGTGAGGTAATAGAATCACAATTACAAATGCAGTGAACAGCATGCGTCAAGATGGATACATTGCAGGAACAATGTTGAGTCAAAATAAAAAGGAAAAAGAAAGCAAGTCATAGAAGAGTACATTTGGTATGATACCACTGATAAATGTTCATAAATAAGATTAAATGACCAATATATTGTTTAGGGTACAAATATGCATGGTCAAACTGTGGGTAAAGGGAATGATGAACACAAAATTCAGGAGGGGTTGCCTCTGAGAGGCAAGGTGGAGGGATCTGTGAAGGGCGTACGCAAAAATTTAAGGTAATGCTATCTTTTTTCTTAAATTTGGTGGTTGAAACACAGATGTTCATTGTACCTGGATTATTTTTACATACGATTTATAAATATTCTTCTGCTCATCTCAATATTGAATGAAAACATTGTTCTAAAAGAATATAGCAAATATAATATACCCCCCCCATAGGAACCTATCTCTGTTTTGAGCATAGAAATTGGTATAAAATGTGAATTTACCCCAAAGAAAACTTCCAGAGCAATCCCTGTCTCTACAGTACATTGAACTAAATAACTTTAAATTATACCATTCATTTTCCTATTTGCAACTAAACATTTAGAGGCTGCACTTGAATATTTAAGGTTTGTTTTAAGGCTCTGACACTGGAATGAATTGGAAAAATGTGCCATCTTGCATTTTCATGTACTCATTTAAAGTGTCTTATTCTTACTCAAAGAAATATATGAGCTTTTTTTTTTACTACTACTGCAGGTCAGTAGTAACTTTATTTTAGGTTTAATAATATATTGGTATAATTATAAAATCAAAAAACAGGTAAAAAGAGGAGGTGGCTCCAAAACCCATGGGAACTTTTTAATAATCTGTGTTCTGCCCACACTATACTATCTGTGATGTCTTATTTATTGGTTTTACATAATTTCAGCATATATATATATATGCATGTATATAAAGACATATATGTGAAAAATACAATGTCTTTCTTTTTGGATTTTTACCTTTGTGAGAAGGAAACACACTTCAAAAGTTCATCAAGACATAACTGACCATACTAAAAAGAGCACCGTAGGGCTTTGCAGCCTTTTTTTGTTTTGATTTTGTTTCTTTTACAGATCTTAATCATTGGAGACGTTTCTGGGAATATAGTTTTTCCTTCTCTGTATTTCCTCAGCATTCAATTAATTAATGAGCTGTTAAAACACCTGAATTAACCAATCTACAATCTTTATAAGTTTTCATGGATTTTTATTTCTTAACTAAAAATGAGAAATTCAACATTAATATTTTTGGCTTTTCCTATCATAAAAAATAAAATTCAACTTTAATATTTTGGGGTTTTCTTATCCCAAAGAAAAAGTAAGAATCACCACCACCAGAACAGTTTACCAACCAGTTTGAATCTATTTGTCTTCATTTAAATATTTTCTAGAATATACCAAAGTAATAAATACATGTCTTTCATGCTGCGAACACAGTATGGACTGCCCCATTTGTATTTGTGGCTTTGACATATTTTCCCATTAAGATTATCATCTGTATATTCAATGTGTATATATTACATAAATCTCCTGTAATCAGCTGAAATTTTTGGTTTTGAACATTGTAAGTCATTCCAAGAACAGAAAACAGGTAAAGCAGTATTAGCATTTGAGCAAAAAAGTATTCTGTATCTACTTTGTCCAAAAAGAGGGAAGGGATTTAGTATAGAGAAATTTGTTCTCTAGGTCATTAAGCAAGCATTTAGGTAATATCATGAATTTTCCTGTTTGCCTAAAAGGCCCAGAAGTTAGCCCTCAAAGATGCCAGGATGCACAGTGCCCTTGCCGCCTCCATTCTGATCCAGCAGGTGTCTTCTGACTGGCTGGGGTCTGTAGTCTGAGTGGCATCAGCCATAATTGGCTAACTTAATGAAATGTGAGACAGGGACAGTAGGTGTAAAGACACTTTGGGAAACTTTAATTCAGGTGCTGCACTCATGCCTTCTTTTTTTCCTGAGTTGGGGAAAATCTGTCTAAAATATTTCTATTACCACTGAGGTTGGGGAGCTAGAACTTTCTGAAGCTCTATCCCAGTTAAATGCAGCGCCTGCTGGGAGAGGGGAGTCGCTGAGCCCTTGTCAGCTAAGTTTGTCCACTAGCTGCAAAGATAGACTGAAGGAAGAAGAGCCCTCTGCTGGCGTTCGCTGCTCTGGCTCCCACTTACTGAGAGAGCATGGCCCTCTCCTGGGCACACAAAGCCCACTTAGCTGCTTTTATTTATTCTTTCCAGGTTTCCCAGGTCTCCAAGGCCCTGCCGGTCTCCCCGGTGCCCCAGGCCTCTCCTTGCCCTCAGTCATAGCAGGACAGCCTGGTGACCCTGGGCGGCCAGGCCTGGATGGAGAACGAGGTAAAGACTGGAAGCCCAGAAAAGGGCTGGCCATCACCTTTTGTCCAGTCATTGGGCAGGTCCTGTATACAGTCCAGCCTCATCCCTATTGCTGCATATGCATGGGCCTGCTCAGCCTCACATCCTGCCACCAGCAGGGATGCAGGGGACTGGAATGGACTGCATTTAGCAAAAAGGGTTAGGGAAGGTCTGGGCACCGGGACCCCACAGGCAGCAAGGGAACATTCTCTGCCTTGGGAATGGGCTTTGACTTCCTATCAGCCCTGGGGACTTAAGCAGTGGCCACTTCCTGCTCACCAGCCCTCATCCCTCTTCTGATCTTATCCCTAGGCCGCCCAGGCCCCCCGGGACCCTCAGGCCCCCCTGGGCCATCCTCAGATCAAGGCGACCCTGGAGACCCTGGCTTCCCTGGAATTCCTGGCCCTCAAGGGCCCAAGGGAGACCAAGGAATTCCTGGTTTCTCTGGCCTTCCTGGAGAGCTAGGGCTGAAAGGTACGGCTGCTTGGCTGGCTGTTGGGCCTTCTCCCACGCTACAGTCAACAAAGGCCCCTTCCTGCAGCCATGTGGAGAGAGGCCAGCTGATAATGCTCTTCCCACCCTCGCCTCTGTCTGTCTCAAGCCCCTGCCACCAGTGCTACCATGCCAGGCCCTGACTTGCTCTCCTTTGTACTTTGCCAGGCATGAGAGGTGAGCCTGGCTTCATGGGGATTCCAGGCAAGGTTGGGCTGCCTGGAGACCCAGGATTTCCCGGGATTAAGGGGAAGGCAGGGCCAAGAGGTGAGTTGAGCGCATGTGCGATGCTGAGCCTGAGCTCAAGGGAAGGGTCTGGGGGTCACATTCCTTCAGGAGTCACTCAATGGTCAGCAGGCCAAGGAAGCCTGGATGCCTGAAGCAGCTGAATCCAGCTCCCCCAAGCTGCCTCCATCAGCTCCCGGGACTGAAGGCCCTGCTGCTCTGCCACCAAGGGTCCTGCCAATGACCACCCCTGTCTGCATTAGTGGGCACTGGGTCTGCGCTTAGATCACTACTCACCTGTTTCCTCAACCCGGAAATGAAGAATGATCCTGCGCATCCATTGCTGCATCCCCCTCAGTCACACATCTAATCCATTAGGCAAGCCCTGAGGGTTGTGTCTGCTCAGCGTGCCTTACATCAGTTCACCTCTCACCACCAGCACTGCTGCCACCCTGTCTCAGCCACTAAGAGTTCCCATGTGAATCACTGCAGGGACTGCTAACCAGTCTCCCTGTTTCCATCGTGCATCTCCTCCAACAATCATTTCTCCTGACAGTGGTCAGAGAAATCTTAGAGAAACAAATAATCCACTGGCTTCCCACAGGATAAGAATTAACTATGGCCCACAAAGTTTGTGGTGCCTCCCTTTTCCTCCTTATCACCAGCCCTTCCTCTTTGCTACTCACTGTGCTCTTGCCACACTAATCTCTTTCAGTTATCGAAACACACCATACCCTGGTGGTCCTCAGGGCCTTTGCACATGTTAGTTCTACTTCCTGGAATACTTTTACCACTCCCTCCACCCTGGCTCCCAGCTCCTTCTAATGCTTTAATGGTCTCAGCTTAAATGTCACTGCTTATGAGACCACTTATCATTCTCTCAAGCAAATTCTCTACCCCTTAGCCCCCACTGCTCCCTCCCACTGTTGCTGGACTGTTCATCCTTTGTAGCACTTCTCACAGTTTGCAGCCAGATTAATGGTATTTGTTGGGTTCTGCATTTTTAATCTTTGTCACCAAACCATAATCTCCGTAAAGGTCTATCTTATTCACTGCTCTGTTCCCTGACCTGTCATGGTCTTGTACATAGTAGGCACTCAAAAAATACTTGTTCAGTAAATTTGTAAGCAAATCAGCTTATTTGGCTACTATTAGTAAGCCAGCTGGCTGGGGTCAGTCCTAGGCTCTGATGCCAACTGAACCTCTGGGGTTGGACTCATCCACTCACTTCCTTGGTACTGTGCTCTCACTGGGGAGGGAGTAAACCAGCCACCACAGCCCAAACAAAGGCTCATCCCACCGTATTTGCAACAAACATTTCCTGACTTGCTTATAACATACTAGGCCGTGTGCCGGGCCCTGAGGAGATAAGATGAATATAACCCAGTCCCTACCCTCAAGGAGCCACCAATCCACTGCCGAGATAGATGGGTAGAGACGACATTGTGTAAAGCTTGGTGAGAGCCATCCTGGAGGTTGGACTGGAGGACAAACAAGAAGAACAGAAAGCTGGTGATTAGAGGCAGAGAGGAAGGCTCCCATGGTATCCACCCTGGCTGCCTCTGCCTCCGCCTGACATTTGCATTTCCCCTACCTGCCCACAGGCTCTTCTGGCCCCCAAGGTGCTCCTGGACAAACACCAGTTGCGGAAGCTGTCCAGGTGCCTCCTGGACCCATGGGTCTACCAGGCATCGATGGCATTCCTGGCCTCACAGGGGACTCTGGGGTTCAAGGCCTTGTAGGCCTGCAAGGTGAGGAGGGCACCCAAGAAAGGGACTTTCTGGGGTGCTGAGACAGCCTTGGCTGAGAGGCTGAAGCAACTGGCTGGGCCTCTAGCTCACAAGGGGTGCTTTCATCAAGTGTTTCCTCTGCTCTTTCACAAAGCTCCCAGGCCTCTTGCCAGGAAGGAGGCCCAGCAGGGCTAGCAGTTGTACTTGGCTTTAGATAATGTGTGGGCAGAGCACAGCAGCTACTCCACACAGCTTGTCCATCACTAATGTGCTGTTGAGGGAAGGAGGGAGTATGGTGGGGGATAAAGAGCAAAGGAGAAAGCCCTGGGCTGGGGGACAGGAAACCTGACTTCTAATCCCAGCTGTGCTCCAAATGGAGTAAGTTAGCAGTCTCTCTGGGCCTTGGTGTCCTCATTTGTGATATGGGGCACCAGCTGTTGCCCTGCATGCTTCCCAGCGTTGCTGGGAGGAGAGGCTCAGCCTTGAGCTGAGTATGCACGCCAAGAGGATGGCCAGTGCGCCCTCTCCTGGTGAGTCCTGGGCATGACACACAAGCCACGTTTCTCAGGGTAGCACTCCTCAGGACCCTCCGCATTGGGAATCCTGCTGTGGGCCTTCTCTTCTTTCAGGCTCCAAGGGTTTACCTGGCATTCCTGGCAAAGACGGCCTCAGCGGACTCTCCGGCCCACCTGGGGCTCTTGGTGATCCTGGTCTCCTTGGACTACAAGGCCCTCCAGGATTTGAAGGTCTGGCAATATCGGCACTAGGGGGCAGAGGGTTTTTGTGAAGATTTGAGGCTTGGGGGTGAGTCAAAATCACAAATCTGGGACTTAGGAAACCTGGTGGTAAAGCTTGACACAACCATTTGGCTGGAAAACTGGGGCTCTCATCCATTCGTTCCTACCCACCTCTGAGCCTGTGAAAGATAAGATTCCTGTGTTCTGGAAGGCAAAGGACGGTTCCAAATTCTTTTCTGGATTCTCTTCCAGCTCTTAAGAGCTATGACTCAATACCATAACATGGCCCCTACCCCGCACCTCCCCTTTTCTATCTAAGGATTCTGACATGAATGGGAGGGGACTTAAAGGATAAGAAAATCTGAGATAAGGTATGGCTGTTATTTGCCTCACCTTTTATATCACAGATGGCAAATCAGTTGTCCTGAGTGGAGAACAATTCTGAGGCTTGGTGGGAAAGTGGTGTGATCAATCATCCACATCTACCATGGGCAGGGGAGGAGGGTATGATTTTTGCCTTGCTAATTCCAACTCTGCTTTTGCTGCTTCTGATTCAGCAGCTACTTGGTTATCTCCTAGGAGAGACTGCAGGGCCTGAGGATTAACTCCCTCTGCCCCCTCACCCCCTCATAGAGAACCCAAGGCTGGTAGCTATGGGAGGGAAGCTGGATAGTGTGCTTTTGAAAATTGAAGTATAGTTGATATACAATATTATATTGGTTTTAAGTATATAACAGTGATTTGACAATTATCTGCATTATTAAATGCTCACCCCAACTAGTATAGTTACTATTCGTCAACATGGAAGGATGTTACAGAACTGTTGACTATATTGTCCATGCTATACTTTTATCCCTGTGGCTAATTTATATCATAACTGAGATTTTGTGCCTCTTCATCTGCTTCACCTATTTCATCACCCCACCTCAACTCCTACCCCATGGTAACCACCAGTCTCTTCTCAGGGTCTGAGTCTATTTCTGCTTTGTTCATTTGTTTTGTGTTTTTAGATTCCCCATATAAGTGAAATCACATGGTATCTGTCTTTTTCTTCCTGGCTTATTTCACTGAGCATAATACCCTCTAGGTCCATCCATGCTGTCACAAATGGCAAGATTTCTTTCTTTTTTATGGCTAAGTAATATTCCATTGGGTATATGTATCACATCTTCTTCATTTGTCTATTGATGGACACTTTGGTTGCGTCCATATGTTAGCTATTGTAAATAATGCAGCAATAAATATAGGGGTGCGTATATCCAAATCAGTGATTTTGTTTTCTTCAGGTAAATTCCCAGAAGTGACATTGCTGGGTCATATGGTATTTCTATTTTTAGTTTTTTGAGGAGCTTCCTTACTGTGGATAGCATGCTTTTTAAAATGGGGACTCCGTAGCCCCATACACCTGAGTTGGCATTCCAGCTCTACCATTTACTTACTAGCTGTGTGACCTCTGAGCCTCAGTTTCCTTATCTACAAATTGGGGCAATAAGGTTGTGGTGAGAATCAAGTGAGCTAACGTGTATGTAAGGTGCCCTGCTCAACACATGGCACAAAATGAGTAGCTGCTGTTCTTATTGGCTGCACCTGGCTCACCGCTTTTCTGCTCTCTCCCTCCCAGGAGCTCGTGGAAAGCAGGGCCCCTTTGGGAGGGCTGGACTGCCTGGGCAGAGTGTGAGAGTGGGCTACACCTTGGTGAAACACAGCCAGTCAGAACAGGTGCCCCTGTGCCCCGTCGGGATGAGCCAGCTGTGGGTGGGTTACAGTTTGCTGTTTGTGGAAGGGCAGGAGAAAGCCCACAACCAGGACCTGGGTAAGTACCAGCTCTGCAAGCCATGGCTGTCCACCCCACAAGGCAAGAGCCACCCTCCTCACTCCTTCCAGCCCAGTGCTGGGTAGCGGGTTACAGCATCAGCTCTGCCCAAACCCTGGCTCTACCTCTTTCTTACCATGTACTCTGGACAAGTTACTCAACCTCTCTAAGCTTCTACTTCCTCCTTAATGGAACAAGGCTAATTCTAATACTCATCTCATAGGGTGATGTAAGGACTGCATGAATCACCCAAAGTAAAATGCTTAGAACATTTGGTGCATATGAATTATCCATTAAACGTTAGCAATTAGTAGTAGAAATAATAATATGACCTGTGGGGCAACAATGTTTACCCAAGAATTAATTGTATTATCTACAGGTGTGCTGACTCTGAAACAGACTCTCTCTATTAAATGCTGGTTTTACAGAGCATACTAATTAGGGAGTCATTAGTCAGATTATAAAAAGATTCTTTTCAATATCAAACCTCCTTGGTACATTGAAAATATAATTTGATCAACAGACTTTAGTGTGTGTACAGCGTCCCAGGACTGTAAGGGGAGGTGTCCCTGCTCTGCTACAAGCAGTTGGATGTAAACCCAAACTACTATCTAGTCCAGTCCTAGTGGCCCTAGGAATAGGCTAATCCTTGACCCACCCCTCAGCAGAACTTACCTGCTTCTGCCCACCTTTTCTCCTTCCAGGGTTTGCTGGCTCCTGCCTGCCCCGCTTCAGCACCATGCCATTCATCTACTGCAACATCAACGAAGTGTGCCACTATGCCAGGCGCAATGATAAATCCTACTGGCTCTCCACCACTGCTCCCATTCCTATGATGCCCGTCGGCCAGACCCAGATTCCACAGTACATCAGCCGCTGCTCTGTGTGTGAGGCACCCTCGCAAGCTATTGCTGTGCACAGCCAGGACATCACCATCCCGCAGTGTCCACTGGGCTGGAGCAGCCTCTGGATCGGGTACTCCTTCCTTATGGTAAGGCCCCTCCTCTCGTGTAGAGGCAGAGGGCAGGGAGCTCTGGGAGGATCCCCTGAGCTGGTTCCCCAGCTCAAGGGACATGGGATAAAATCCATGGAATTGAAAAGAAGGAATATACTTGGCCTGGGCTTGGGGAAAGACTGGAGCCCAGTCCTGCATGAATGACAGATAATTCTGGGTGGGAATAGAAATGTGCAGTTTGCACACAGCAGTTTAGGGGTGAGACTATCTGTGAATCACCAGAAAGGGTTCTAACATCTTATGCCTGCTTCAGTTATGCCACAAGCAAGAGAAGGAGGAAACACCCAATCTCGGCGGACAGTGAGGGAGAGGCTGTCCCCAGTCAGGGCCAGGACATACTCTCACTGGTCAGGCTGGGCACGGACATGCCCCACTTTTCTACCCTCCCTCCCAGGCCCCTCTGGCCACTGCCATCTCCTCCTGAAAGGCTCAGCTAAGGACATGCTGTATTCCTATGTCCTATGTCCCTGCTGGGATTTGGGCAGCTTCTCTATTTCGGTGGGAAGGCAGTGGCCGGCCAGGCGGTATGGCTTGCTAAGAAAGAACTGAAAACATCTGTAAGCCCAAGGCAGCATCAAGTCTGTCACATGACATTCTGTGCATGTCTGGGGACATTAAATGAGTGAAAGGTCAGGTACAGGACCAGAAAAACTCCTGGGGAAAGTAGTGGGGCACCCATTGAAGTACCCTACCTCACCCAGCTTTTTTGCTGAGTGGACAGGGGCAAGATGGTAAGAGAGTGTCTTTGAAGAATTACCAGAGCCACAGGCTTCCTCACATTAGTGCACCTGCCTGGGCAGAGGTGCTTCCTTGTTTTGCTCTGCGAATTGGACAGTTTATCCCAAAATAATATAGAATCATCTCACTATCATTCTGTCCTGTTCACCACCCAGACCCGGAAATAAGGAGAAAAGGCCTCTGAGCTTTGACAAGGAATAGTACAAGAGCCGTATACAAAAATCTCATGCGCTTTGCTCATGGAAGCACTCTTAAGGCTTTATTCAGAATCTCTCTACTCTTATTTTACACATAATTCTAACATACTAGAATATCTGTATTTTCCTGAAAACATGAGGGTGGCTATGGGGACTGCCTAGTTAAGGGATCTTGAAGCAATGAGGCATACCTACTGAAAAGAAGAAAAGAGTGAGAAATTGATTCGAAGGCAGCCCAAGAACTCCCAGGCTGTGACCCTTGGTGTGGGTGGGGCCTCTGCAAAATCACCCAAGACAAAAACTGACATTCACAATGACAAGCCCGGGTCATCTGGGAAGTGTAAAATACACAGTGTAAGACAGGAAGATGTGTCATTCACTCTAAAAAGTTTTCTATCTGAGAATCAAACTGAGGAAAACCTTAATGCTTCATTTATCAGGAAAGGTCACTTACATGGAAACTCATTCTCCTGCAGTTCTGCAAAGTAAGGCATTCCTGTGTGTCCAGATCAGGCATTTGTCCCATTGGCCACTTGCTGACCTGGATGTGTATGAGGGCTCTTCCCTACGTTTTGGGGTCCAGAGGATAACCCAGCTTAGGTGAAGGGAGAGGGGCAGGGACTCTGAAGAGATAAGGACTGCCACCTGTGGGTACAGTGACCAGAGACTGTCAGTTCATGAGTGGCACTGATGGGGAAATCCGGAAGTCATGTGCTGGGGGAACCCTCTGAAGCGAGGGCTGGGAGGTTAGGCCAAACACAAGGCCCACTTGTACTCAGCAGGTAACAAAACCTATATGTAGCCCTAAAGGGTGTGGTACAGACTGAAAATATAAGTTCTAATGAAGGTAAACTTCAGAGTCAGAGCGATAATAGACATGCTGAGCGGGGGAGCCCATGGTTTAACCACCTTGTGGAGGGCTGTGTGCTCCATCCCCCCTCAGGGTACACGGCCAGGGGCTGGAAATAGAGGGCTCTGAGAAGAATTGCATTCTGAAACCTATTGAATTTCCCTTCATCCTGCCTGTCTCAGACTTATTTGTCCATGGAGATTTGGGGTGGGGGAGGGAACACCTCACACGCCTCGGAACTCAGTGGGACAGCAGCAGAGTGGGAAACACTGGCTGAGATGTAGCCTCTGCCTAGGCGCGGTGGGTTAGGAGGGCCCTAGGTAGCGTGGAGGGAGCGCTCCTGGCCCTGAGGAGCTATGAGGGAGGAAGAGCAGTGTCTGGTGCTAAAATAAAGCTTCTGGCATGCTGGCGAGACGCTGGGGCTGAGCCCTTGAGGGACGCGAGCTCAGGAAGGGAGCGCACGTCCCTCGTGGAGCAGCGAGTCCGCCCCCGCGACCGCACCAGCTCACGAGAGACCCGGTCTGTTGCAGCACACCGCCGCCGGCGCGGAGGGAGGGGGCCAGTCCCTGGTCTCCCCCGGCTCCTGCCTGGAGGATTTTCGCGCCACTCCTTTCATCGAGTGCAGTGGTGCCCGAGGCACCTGCCACTACTTTGCCAACAAGTACAGTTTCTGGTTGACGACAGTGGAGGAGAGGCAGCAATTCTGGGAGGAGCCAGTATCTGAAACACTGAAAGCAGGGCAGCTCCACACCCGGGTTAGCCGCTGCCAGGTGTGTATGAAAAGCCTGTAGGGTAGCACCTGCCTCTGACCCTTGCCCTCCCCTCCCCCACAATGGTCACCTCACGAACCCAAATGGTCTGAAAAAGGAAGGCTTAAGTGCTTTTGCCCACCTGTCAAGTTGTGCATTGCAGTCTCATTTGGGCTGGACTACTACTGCACACTAGTCACACCAATCCTCAGAACCAATGGGTTGGGTGGGCCCATGGGCCCATCCCACCCCACCCCACCCTGCTAAGATCTGCTATCCCATTTCAGTCCATCTGGTGCTACGGTTCAACTCAGATGTTGGTGTAACTATTCATGGCTACCTCAGAAAGACCTGCTGGGCCACCCCTTTCTTAGACCTAGCCTTCCTCACTGTCTTGATCAGAAAGCTCTTCAGAATAGCTGATATCATTTCTTACTGGCCAGAGGTCACCACCACATTATTTGGCTTAAACCAGAACCCAGTGTTACCTACATTAAAACTGACAAAAAAAAAATTCTCTGGCTAAATATTCACAGATGGCTCAAGCCTGCATAGTGAAAGTTTGCACTCTTCAAGAAGGCTCACTGTGTCTAGGCAGGCAGCATAGCTGGAAAGAGGTGCTAGTCAGTAGCCCGGGTGAACTTCAACTCTTTCCAGAGTGAGCAGACTGGGCCCTGTATTGCTTAAGGAGGGACTCATTAACTTCACACGGTCCTAGACAAATCACTTCCTCCTTGCTGGCTCCTTTCCCAGCCAGAGACTTACAACGTGGCCCTGAGTAGGGTGGAGGATGCATCAAATGTGGCCAGGCACACAAAGGGAAATGAGAACCACAATCCTTTCTCTCAGGCCAGGGGTAGAGGGGTGGATGGGTAAGGAGGTGTGAATTCTGCTTTTGACTCCAGGAACAAAAAGATCCCTTGTCCCAATTTCTCAGAAGATCCTGTTTATTCTAAATGCCATCCAGATGTGTGCAATCTGGCAAACTGAAGCTACAATGTGTTGGTTCCTTTGCATTTTTGAGGCTGTTAGAGACTTCCCATTAAAGTGTCCATCTAACTGCTCTTTCACAGGTAGCCTGTTAAAGGATTTTAATATATTTTTAAAAGCTCATAAAAATCTTGCACACTCCTCTCTTTAGCAGTTAGCCGGCCTAAAGCAGGCCTAAGCTGACTATAAAGTGTATTGTATTCTGTTTGGGGGATTTGTTTTAACCATTTCCTCTAATTATCAATTTCCCAGAACACTAAGCTATGTTGTCATGAGGCAATTCCTTCCAGGTGATTCTGTTTCCTTAAATATTATGTAAACTGTGCCAAACAGACAAAGCATAATCAGTATAACCTGCATTACTGTTACCTTCACTTCCTGAGTAATAAGCATGGTGTTAGCTTTGTACATCACGAATAAAAGGAATTAAATATGAACGTTTGACTCTTTTGACATTCTTTGATGAAAACTTTGGTCTGAAGTCCTTCTCATTGCAATTCATGAGTCCTTCTCAGAGCCATGGGGGTTCCTGTTATTATAAGTTGAAATTCATAACAGAAATGGAGGCAGGAAAAACTATAATTAAAGTCAAAGGGCAGAAAGAATCCTTTAACAGGCACAAATCAATATAAGCCTACAACTGCTTTTAGCCCCATCACATGCTAGAGTTCAAGAGAGGAATTTCCATACTTCTGGGGTCTGAGGGTCATCTACAGATAAATCACAAGTAGAAAAATGTTAAAGTCACCAAAATCAAACATACAGGTATATATGCATATATTTTTATATACATAAAATATATCCTCTGGAAGGATAAACAAGAAATTAATAACCTTTGGAGTATTCAGGGAAGGGAACTAACCTGTGGGGAGGGAGAGCCATTTCACTGAATACCATTTGTACCTTTTGAATTTTGAACCACTGGAATATATTATCTACTGGGAAAAAAAGAAAAAAATAGAATTTAAGGGAACAGATATTCTATTATTCTTATATATACAAAAAAATAACCTGTTTGGTGCTAGCTTTCAAACCACAGTTGTTGGCCTTCCTCAGGACTTAGTTGAGGATGGAGGTGTAATGCATGCAGGTCATGAGGGCAACGGAGGAAAATGGGGAGATACCACTGGAACTTGAGGTACATCCACACAGGAGAGTGGTTAGCAAAGCCAATTTGATAAATATGTCCTTTAAAATGTAGTACATTGCTAGTCGTGAAATGGTCTGGCATTGTATTTAATGCACAGCTTAAATACCACCACATGAATAATTCGAATTATGGTGGTCAACCAAAATGGAGTCTAATTCACACAATTTTTAATTTCCACCAAATCAGCAACTTAAGTCAGTGACTGGCAAACTATAGCCTGTGGCCAAATCCAGCCCTCCACCTGTCTTTGGAACCAAAGTTGTATTGGCTTACAGACAGGCTTGTTTGCATGCACATTGTCTATGGCTACTTTTACACTTCAGTAGCAGAGTTGAGTAGCTGTGACAGAGCCTACATGGACTGCAAAACTTAAAACATTTACTACCTGGCCTATACAGAAAAAGTTTGCTGACCTCTGATTTAAGCAATCATGATTTGATATAAGGACAGAGTGATATCTCACAAAAGTATCAGTAAGGATGGGAACAGTGACCAAGCAAATAAATAGTAAGGTTCCTTTAAGTAGGAAGGGAATCCACAAGTGCACATTTGACATTGTTTCTTTGACAAACTTTTTGGTCTAAATTGTAATTATTGAAAATACATATTCAAATAATTTAGCAAGAACTTTTTCTCCCTCATGCCATCACTTTATTATCAGAGCAAGAGAACAAATTGCTTCTTAGTATTTAGGCCCAAAGAGGTCACATCTGAAAGGGTGAAGAAGCAGAGGGTAACCATCTCTCAACTCCTGGTGCTTGAAGCAAGCTGGGAGTTGCTGTCTGTCTTCCAGACGTCCACCTCCTCCTTTCAGTAGCTGAAGACTCATAGGGGCTGTGTAAGACAAGCTGGGAAGCAAGGAATGACTCCTAATCTGTCTGCTCCTAGATTTCATGATTGTTCTAGTTCTTTCGGGGAAAGGGTAGTTAGTTTCTTTTTTTCGGAGAAATGGTGATTGGCTCAGTCATGATTGCTATGAAGTTTGTATGCTGTTGGCAAATCAGGCACTTACTGACTAGAAAAGTCTTACGTAATGAGTTCATGTTCTTCTGGTGCCACTTGGAAGACAGGCCTCCAGCTGAGTTCCCACTATTCTACACGCTCAGAATCTCAAAATCTTCCTCCAGATCAAACTCCTCCAGCTGTTCAGTAGAGTCAATGAATTCTATCAGAATACAGAAAGAAGAAAAGCTTGACACTTGGGTTGAAGCGGCAACATGGGCAAACCTCATTTTATTGTACTTTGCTCTATTGAGCTTCACAGACGTTACTTTTTTACAAAGTAAAGGTTTCTGGCAACCCTGCATGAAGCACATCTTCCAGAGCCATTTTTCCAATAGCATTTGCTCACTTTGTGTCTCTGTATCATATTTTGGTAACTACTGTAATATTTCAAACTTTGTCATTATTATTCTATTTGTTATGGTGATCTGTGACCAGTGATTATGAGTCATGGAAAGCTCAGATGATGGTTAGCATTTTTAGCAGTAAACTATTTTTAAATTTAGGTATGTACATTATTTATTTTTATGCATAAGGCTGTTGCACATTTAACAGACAGTAGTATTGTGTACACACAACTTTTATATGCACTGAGGAACCAAAAACTTCATTTGACTTACTTTGATTGTGATATACACTTTACTGTGGTGATCTGGAACCAAACTTGTAATATCTCTAAGGTCTGCCTGTATGTTACTCAGTAGTTAAGACTATGCATTTTTTATTGCTTTGCTAGAGAAAAGCCTGTGTGGAGACTTACAGGTAGGACCACTGCCAAGTATTAAAAATTCTCTATAAAGAACCAAAATAACCAGGCTTGTTACTTAGTTCTATACATAGTGATGAGGATGAGGCTCTGTAAGACCTTTGAGGAACCTTTGAATCACCCATGGCCTCTGATTTGTTTTCTGAACCAGACCATGAGAAAACAAATTCTAGTCATTTTGATTTTGCACGGAACTTTAACATTGAGCTCATTTTCTCCTACTACCATTCTTTGAAATTGGTTAAAGGCAGTTTATCAGAAGATTAAAATAACCCAGAAGCAGCACTCCTTGATCAGTCCAGCTAAGCAGAAATTTTACATTCCATGGAACCATGAGCCACAGTTGCTTCTATCTCATAAAACAATTGCTACACACAAGTTTGCTGGCTGGAGAGCCTCTGAACAACAGCTTACCTGCCCCAGTGGTTGTCACTTCTGGCTTGGCTGGGGGAACAAAGGGAGGCCAGTGTGATGGATGTTTCTGAACTAATTCAAACATCCTTAAATTTTCCTTTAGAATTTCCTGAGGAGACACAGACACAATTGTGAACACTGCAGAGTCACTACATTTCTGTCCAGTTAGCAATCTTTGTCCCCAGACTCTAAGAAAGGATGGGCTGGTTGTTGAGAGGTCAAAGCAAAGGCCTAGCAAATACACCCATCCTCTACCTGACCCACCTAAAGATCCGGCCTTCTTAGATTCTAGACGCTGTTGGCCAGGAAGGAAGGACACTAGAGGGAGCATCTGACGGAAGGCCAGTACTCCCGGCCCCTGCTCCATTATGAGGTTCAGGTCATATGCCAGTTGCATGGGCCCAACTCAACTTAGGAGTGAGATGTTCCTGAAGTGTTGGCTCCAAAGAAATGTTGGTTAATTAAGTTGAATCTGCCCTAAGAGAATATTGGTACATACTGGCATGGTTTCAGTTTTAGTCCCAACACTTACGGTATATGTCCTAATTTAAACAGCATAGTCTTATCAGAAAATTTTCATTCTAACTTTAAATGAGATAGAAATACAGTTTTGCTGTATTCTGAAATATAAGTATTGCCTTTAGAAAATAATTCTTCATCCTGTCCTAGCTAATTATTAACCGGGGTTTCAGATTCGGTTAGGGACATCAGTGTTAAGTATTTGTTCACTGGTGAAGAAAAATCTTCCCTCCTTACACTTACAAGAGGCTCTGGGCTCCCATATCTCCAATTTCTTTGTTTTGCAGAGAGGAGAACATCATGTCTCCTCCACCCCATCCAGGACTTTTTAAACTAATCCCCATGATCTCCCTTCATTCTTTGAATAAGTGTTTATCACTGTCTTCCACATATTTGCCATGTGTTAGAAGCTGAGAATGAGGGAGGCAGATACAAAGATAAGTGAGCCAAGCAAAACAAGAAATTCCTTTCATACAAAGTACCAAAAAATAATAACTTGCTTTAGTATTCACACATATTTCTGAAAATTATGTTCCCTTTAAGTGGCAGCAGGCCTACATTTTATATAAGTAACACAGGTAATAAAAAGGCAAGCCCCCTAAGCCATAATAGAATACATTAAACAGTAAATAGACCACTAAACAAATAGAAAGTAATTTAGTTCCTTCAACCATCTCTGTTACAAACACAGAAAGGAAGAATTTCAGCTGAGCTAAATGAAATTAGCATTTTTAAGTTAAAACAGTAAAATGTTAGTCGATTATTTCATATGACTCACAGGCTTAATGAGATGAAACATTCAGTGGCTAAAAATATTGCCCACTTGACATACTAAGCATATATCAAACAAAAGTTTTTCTTTTTTTCCCTGAAGTTATGCACAATTCCCCACACCTTAGTTTCTTTTTCATGCAGTAAAGTCATGTCAGGCTAGGTTTATGTTACTATGAAAAAAACAATCTTGAAAAGGAATCATATTGAAGAGCTTTCATTTTTTAAGACTAAGAAAAACATACATCTTTACCTTCTGAACAAGGCTACACCAGCTATCAAAGTCTTTTTCTTCTTTGCAGAAAAATCCCTTGTTGGGGGGGAAGCAAAAGAACACAACTTAGAACTGGTCACGGGCACCGAGGCAGGCCCTTTGCAATGCAAGGTGGAGCCGCTGGCCCAGAGTTATGATGTGGGCCACTCTCTTGGGATGCATCTTGTGGCAATAAGGAAGAAGACTGACTAGGCTTCTCTCTCTCTCTTAGGTCATTGCCTCATTTGGACACACACATTTAATTGTTCTCTTTCTCCCTGTCTCCCTTTCCCCTTCCCTTTTCCCCTGTCCCTGTCCCTCCCAGTCTCTCCCTTCATATGGTATGATATAGTAACTTAAAGACCAATCTGTAAAGCGTGGGGTTAATTCCATTACATTCAGTGCACAAATATACACATCTATAAAGAGTAGTCAAACCAACCAACAAAAGCCAAACAGTACTTTTAGCTCAGGGCAATACTTAGGAAAGGGGCTTTGGCCTTAGGGAAATTACCTATTAGAATAGAGAGCCATCCTGCAGTACGGAAAGACCAGTCCAAAACAAGGGGTGGACTCTATCAGCTCTCAGTCACTGGTTCTCTGACAGTTGGGTAAAGGTGGAAGAGAGGATGCAGACGGGCCTTGGGCTCACTGGCTACTTCACAGGCAGCTGCCCTTTCAGTGTACACAGGTCATAGTCATACTTCCAGAGGGGGAAACCCTGAAGCTTCCGGGATTGTGTGCCCAGAGAAATGGGCACTGTCTACCCAGGAGGTCTTGACCCCTTATGCCTCCCTACCCATGTCCCGCCTTAGTCCCTGTGCCTGTGTGGAAATAATTAGAGGGACAGAAGGAAAAGGGGGCAAGATGGTAACGCTGAAGATAACTAACATTCATAGAAAGCTTATGTGCCATGGTGCCTTACACACAGTATACCTCCCACATCCCTATAAGGAAGGAACTACTGTTTTGCTCATTTTAGGGATGAGAAGACCAAGACTCAGAAAAGTTAGGAACTCCCCTCTGAGTCTGTAGCCAGTAAGTAGTACGACCTAGATTCCAACTTGAGCAGTTTGGTTTCAGGGTCCATTCCCTCCCCACTAAACTATATTGCCTCTCAGCGGGCTGGTAAGCAAACATATCTTGCACCCTACCTAGCAACCTGGATAACTCCCAGGAACGGATCTGTAACAGGGTGGCATCAGATCTCGTGGTCCACCCACCCTTCAGATACCCACCAATGCTACAGAAGGATCCAAGTTCAGGATGTTCATTCGCTGTGGGGACTGCAGGCAATGGAAAGTCTGGTCGTCAACTGTTCCATTCTCCTCAGTGTCAACAAAGGTCTGGGTTGTGTGAGGATCCAAGAAAATGAGCTCATCACCTATTTGGAATGAGAATGTTTCATCTTTGAAGAACCCCTGGCACTGGCCGCACTGCTGTCCTCAGGAGGAAGCACTCGTGTTCTCTTAGTCCTTCTCTTGGTGACAATGAGTATGAAATGACAAAAAGCTTGAAGTAGGGTAAGAATGCTTGAAGGAAGCCACCCATACCAAATATAATCATTCAATGAGAAGACTTGGCCTAGCATTTATAGCTCCTCAAGGTCCAAGTCCCCAAATGGAAAGTGACAGGCTTGGGAAAAGGTGGGAACGAGAGACTGCAAATGGCATGGCAGGCTCTGTGAGCAGCAGTAGCAAAGAGGGGGTAGGTAGAATCACTGGGCCATGAGTCCAGGTGCCATTAGGGAGCTTCCTGCCTCTTTCAACATTGGAAAGCATCTCGTTGCAAACTATTGCTTCTTGGACCTAAGGTCAGAGAGCACATCTGGTAAGGAGAAAGGCCTTGGCCTCCAAAAGTAATGTGAATGCTTACTCTGCTGCGGCTGAGATACAGGGGAGCTAACATCTGGTCTTGACTAGCTAGCAGGTTAGTTATTGTTAGCAAGTTAGTAGTTCCTGTCAGAAAGCACTGTCTTCATCACATTAATGTCAATACAGATTTACCTCACTGGGAAAACTCACTTTGAGATGACTGAGCTTACAAATGAGAGAAAAGCCATGCTTCATTAAATTGAAAAAGCCAAGCCCAATAATGACCTGAGAGGAGTTTGCAATAATAAAATCTCTACTTTTGATACTCGAAGGGCTTAATGCTCATCAGCAGCATGCTAAGTAGGCAAAGTACCTTAAGGGGCACCAACCTCACTGTCCAGGCCCAAGGACCATCTGGGCCTCTGAGTTCTAGACTGGGGTAGGCAACCAAAGAGAGATCTATCAGAGGCAGGAGGATGGGGTGGGAGGGATACCTCAAAGACCTTCCCTGGAATGGCACCCAGAACTATGCTGGGCCCATCTAAGTGCTTGTGTTGGCAAAGAATGTGTTTCTGATGTCTGACCAACACTTAACTTATCTCTGTCACAGGCCTAGGACAAACCTTTAACTCAATCTGTAGTTTTCTTATTTTCAAACTGGGGACTTTGACCCTGTTCCAGCTACCTCACAGGGTATTATAAGAACCGAAAATTTCACCTCTGTGAAATACTTAAAACACAATCTAAACACAAGGTGGTCATAGATGTATCTTGTTTAGACTCAGAAGTATTCCCCTACACATATATATTTTAAAGTATATGGAAATCAATGTTCCACATGCCTTGTGTTATGAAGGTCAAGGTACATAATTTCCCTAGACCACAGGTTGGGGAGATCAGTTATATCAAAAAAGCCTTGAGTCACAATAAAGAGCAACAACCAGGATGACTGGAAGGAAGCATATCTAAGACCACAGAAACATAAGGGAAAGGAAGTTACACACAAGAAAAGAGAAATCCAAAGCAGGGTTCGAACTGAGCATGCTGCCAGAGTGTTTCAAGTTAAGGTACTGGGAATAATAGCAGTATTCTCTGGCCCTTTCCCATGGGTATGTGAGTGTGAGTGTGTATATGTGAGAGTGTGTGTGTATGAGTGTCAGTGTATGTGAGAGTGTGTATGTGAGTGTATGTATGTGTGAGTGTGAGTGCACGTGCATGTGAGTGTTAGTATATGTGAGAGAGTGTGAGTGTGAGTGCATGTGTATATGAGAGTGTGTGTCTGTGTATGTGTGAGTGTACATGTATGTGTGAGTTTGAGTGTGTGTGGGGGGGTGTAGTGGAGCTTGTGGGCTTCCCTGTTTCTCAGAGTGCTTAAAAGAGACACAATAGAAGATATACTAAAAAGCCTGGAAATGATGGGACTAATCCAAGGTCTCTAATGAGGCCTAAGGAGAAGAGGCAGGGTGCTCAGCCATCTGCAGACACAGGGCTTGCGCTATGGCCCTCCCGGTGGCAGCCTTCACCCAAGAGCAGAAGGCAAGCACCTCCTCTCTGAGCAGGCACAATCTGACAGCTAGAGCCTCACGCTTGCCATAGTCTCCCACATGGAGAGTCTTCTCCAGCTTCCCACCAGACAAGAGGGTCCTCAGGAAGCAGTGTGGTATGGTGGGCAGAGATGGCCAAACTGGGACTGAGTCCTGGCTTTGCCACTTTCTTGCTGGGTGATCTTGAGGAAATAACCCCTGCAAGCCTTAGTTTCACTGTGTGTCAGCTGGAAATGATCTCTCACAGGGCTGTTGTACTGACTGTATGTATACATCTAGGTTATCTGTCTATATGCCTGTGTCTATCTAAATGTGTGCATGTGTACACACACACACACACACACACACACACACACACACACACACACAGAGCATGCAGTGCAGAGTCCCTGGCACAAGACAGCTGTTCAGAAAATGGCAGTTCTCATCTGTTTCCTCCCTTCAGATATTCTACTAATCCAGATCCTCCAACCTAATAATGTAAGGGGGTGAGTCAGAAAAGGCAACCTTCGGGGGACTTTGGAGACTCAAATGAAGGTTAAACAAAGGATTTCTGAATGTTCCTGGGTAAACGGGCACTATGCAGACCTCCGCCTCAGGAAGGAACTGAGGATCGCCCACATCTCTTTAATGAGTAGTCAAACCCCACAAACGTCACCCTGACCCAGTGGCCTCAGAAAACAGGAGGGTTACGCCAGCTTGCTGAGTTCCTTCTGGGTAACTTGGGATAAGTGAGGCCAAGGTACCAAGGAATTCCTTACACTATTCACTGAGATCCCTCCAAAATCATTTTCCAATCCATTTCAACCTCGTCCTTATGCAAAAACAACAGGAAATAGTTTTTTGCAACATTTTCTTTAACAGGAAACCAAAAGCTCAGCAACAGAGGGCAGCTAAATTTATATAACTCCAAATATGGGGTTTTGTACATAGGAAAATAAACTCCTCCAGTTTGCCCATTTTCCATCGAGCAGTAGTTCTTAGCCTCCACCAATAGATGATAACATTAGAGAGAGCCAAGGCAATTGTGTAGAAATGAAGAAAGAGGGAGCAGAGGAGAGACGGGTTGAGGTCAGGCAGGGTGAGTGTGTACTACAGGCCTGGCTCTTTGCTAAGTGCTCTACCATGAAGTACCAACATGGTGAATCAGGTGTCAGCCCTATTTTCCGTAAGAGGAACCTGAGGCTGAAAGACTTAATTAATACTCTTTTCCCGATGTCACACAGCTAGCGAGTAGAAGACTGGCCTAGAAGGCCAGGTGTGTCTGTGTACACCCTGCCTCACCTCCTGGAATCTCTAAGGAGGTGGGTGGGTGGGGGGTGGGTGACTAAGCCCACCTCATCCTCTCCTCTGCATCTCTCTCACGCCATTCCCCATATGTGTGCTGGCTCTCCGTTGCAATCTAAACTCCTGACTTTGCTGAGGCCCAGTTTCAGACCACTCCACTCCTGCGAGAGGTGTTTTGTATCCAATTCCCTAGCCACATCTCTCTGCCCTGTGCTCTTCAGCACTAAGCAGGTGTCTAGGCCCTTGGTCCTCAGAGGCCACATCAGCGCCGCCTAGGTAGAGATGCCAGATCTCAGGGCCAAGCCTAGACCCAGCGAACCTGCCTTTTAGTAGGCCCTCAAGGGGACTTGTGTGCACATTACTTTGAGAAGCATTGGGCTAGCTCACCTTGTGTGCCAAAGGCCTTAAATGTCCCTGGACCCAGGCAGTGAATAAGGTAGCAGGGTTTCCAGTGTCATCAACCTAGTCAGGGAATGCTGGCCTGCTTGTTAGGATCCACATTAGGAGGTTAGTGGCTTAGCACCCATTATGGGGAAAGGGATACCTCTGTCTTTGCCCCGCTAATTACCACCTAGTCATGGCTCTGCTCAGTAAGCCAGCAGGTCCAGGTGCGTGAGCTTGAGAAGCTAGAGGATGGCTCCAGCCTGAATGTCCCCTGAGAAGAGGGGACTGGCAACATCAGGGGCATGAAACCCCACCACCCTCGGCCTCACGGAAAGGAGAGGTGTGCTGAAGCAATGCTGTGACAGCGGCCAAGTTCAGTGGAAAAGCAACTGGGGGACCATCTTATCAAGAGGCGATGGAGTCAGGGCACTGAAGGAGGATCTGCTCTCCGTCAGGCACAGAGAAGTGTTTACTCTCCACAGATCACGCAGCAGACAGACTGAACTGACCAGAGGCCACAGCATCTCAGGGCTAGACAAGGGCTCCCTAACTGGAATCGTGCAAACCTTCTGCCCACCCTCCCCTAGCCCATGAGGACTTACTTGTGATTCCTCTTTCCTTACCTAAGAATCCTATGAAATAATAGGCGTTATTTGGTTTTCCTCCTAATGCCCCTAAAGACTGTGGCATCTTAAAACACTCCTAGAGGGAAAGAGAATGCAAGATTCTCAACTCACTTGTGGACTGCTGCTCACGGATCTCTGTGCTCACATGGCAGTGTGATGGGCAGGCAGCAATGGGCTCGGGAAAAGGACTGACTTACTTTGAATGCATCAACATAGACAGGATTGATTTGGTTTATGCCCAGGCGAAGGGGCACAATGAGCAGCAGGGGTTTCCAGGCTGGGCAGCAGGCTGAGGTGACCTTACTCTGGTTCAAAGCATTCAGAGAGTCAGGGGGGCTCTCACCAGCTGTGTCAGCACTCAAGGGAAGGACACAGCACATTTTTTCTAGAAACAGAAGACAAGAGAGCTGAGTAAATAAGAGCTAGCCAGCCCTGGGAGATATGCCAGGGGCAAAACTAAGAGACATCTCATGTGATAACCCCTGCCTGGGAGGCCCGCCCCTCTGCCTCCAGGGCCCAGCCCACAGGAAGCCCAGGCCACTCATCCAGCCCTTACCTCTCTTCCTTCTGGCAATTGAGCACTTGCTTACCTCCCGCCAAATACTATGGGCTCACTGAGAGAATCTCATTTCTTAACTAGTCTACAAGGGGTCTTTGAGACAAGGACTGTTATCTTTGTGTTTCTCCAACCCCACGGCAGGGAGCACAGGGCTAAATATGGGGGTCCTCCACAGAAGACCTGTTGGTGGTTTAACTGACTAGCCACACTTAAGGTGTCCCACAGGGAAAGGGTAGGTGGCTCAACTTTCTGAAAGGGAAGAGAAGAAAGGGTCCAGGGAATGATTAACCAGAGTCCTATGCTCCCCCAAGCTCCCCTGCCCTCTGGGGCAGGCCAGAGAGTACAGTGTCTGTTTGTCTCTCATATACCCCCCCTCCCCACACACATGTGTGCACTTCCTGAATGTTAAGGAAGGGCCTTATCATGCACCACCCAGGAAGGTAAACAGGCTAAGGACTCACTGATATCTTCAATGACCACTGTGTTATCCATGGAAACATAAACAGCCAAGGAATTCCATTCGTCAAATAAGGCAAGTTTTCTGCAAAGCAACATACAATGAGGTCAAAATTGGGGAAAATGGAAATACCAGCAGGAAGCAGTACAATGTATGATACTCAGTGTTTCTGAAATCACTGAATGCTGATCCACTGAGAAATTCGGGTCAGCTCCTGATCCCTTGACTGAGCTCTGGAACATTCTATGTCCAGGGACCTTCAGAATGCCACAGTTACTGTTTCCAAACTTGGAGAAGAAGGTCCTGCTTTACTAAGTGGGAAAATTTACCTCACAAAATGATGTTATTCCTGTTGGGTGAGAGAGAAAAGATACCAATGCACCTGCTCCCAAGATTTTGTTTCTTAGATAAAGGACATCCTGACTTGCTTTTTCCAAAAAGGGAAATTGTCATTAAAACATATATCTATTGGTGTGGGAGCACACATAATATGGAGACTAAGCCCCAGGAAAATCCAGGGAGAGAGAAAGCTCACCTATTACATCTGTCCCCTGTGCAGTGGCAACACTGTTCAGAGAGCCTGGGGCTGCAGGTGGCTTTGGGGCAGGGCCCTGCTGGTCGATAGCTGAAGGAGAGCATGCTAAATTGCATGACTCCAGAGGAGATTAGAAAGAAAACCCCTTTAAAAGAGAGATTATCTGAGGTCTAAGTGAAGTTCCAGGCCTATTTTCTCCTTATCTTCTCCTCTTGCCAGTTTGAGAGAAGACATGTTTAACCTGGCTACTTCTGGGATTCTTGGGTAAAGCCTAGTTTCACTAGACAAAAGAAAAAAATATTCTTTCCTAAACCGAAGTAGCTCCCAGGAAGAGGTTAATTATCATTACACTTTAATGTAGTCATCTTTGCCCCAAGTAATAACAATGACAGAATAGCTATAATAATATACTGTTAATGATAACAGCAATCATGATGAATCAGAACTCACTTAAGTTCTTTAAAAGATGTATGAAAGAGGCAAATTCTGAGGGATGTCATTTAAAAACCAACCATTTCAAGCTGGGTTTGGGGCTTGACAAAGTCATTCTAACCTTCTACACTTTCTACCCTGAGTTCCTACGGTGGATCCCAAAATATTGCCAGACTCTTACTCAGCAGATTCAATGATGCCCCCAAAGGCACAATGGACTAAGGCAAGAAAGTAGTCTTGGAGAGGCTGCACTGTTAGCAAGGAGGAAAGTCAAGACACAGATTTCACTTGGGTCCCCAGGAATTCCAGACTACTCCCCCTATAAGCACATTTCTAAAGCATTCTGGTTCATTGATGATTGCCTAGTAATTGAAACAGTGCCACATTTGTACTTTGCATGGAGTGGGTCCCACCATCATGCTCCAGACAGCCCAGTTATTGAAGCACACCACACCAAAGGAGGCCGGATAGTTTCAATCTTCTAATGTCTAAATTCCACCCCAGATTCTGACTGCCACTTGCATTCATTCATCAAGTATTTATTGAGCACTTATGAGTGCCAGGCAGTTTTATATGCTAGTGTTACAGTCATAAACAAAACTAATACAATATCCACCCTCCTGGAGATTTCACTTGGTTACAGGATGTCAGGAAAGAGAGTGACAACAGGTGAGGTGGCTTATACATGTAGGTGCTGATGTCACTCACCTCACTCAATTTCGAAACATTGGTGCTGGCCTCCCTACACAGCTTCTTCCTGTGGGAAATGAACTCTGGGATTTAACAGAACTACAGAAGTATCACGCTGGTGTACCTGGAGTCTACAGGATGGGGGGAGACTGAATAGTCCTGCTGTGCCTTCACATATACTGGTACCAGTGAGTACAACTCTCATATACCAAGACAGATGTCCATACTCACACATTTCAAAGAACTGTTTGAACAAAACAGTACAGATATTTGGTGGCTGAGTGGGATGGATGGTTTTGGGGATGGCAAAAGTAGTTACATTGATGGGACATTGAGTTGGCAGAGGAGGAAGGCATGGGAGACAGCAGAATAAGGCAGATGCCAGACTCTTACTTACTTTAGCACTTGTGCAACTGTATTTGGTCCAAACCATTCGCCAATTGATTTTCCTTCTCCTACACCCATCTGTGCTGTTTTTATGTGGAGAAAAGTAAAGAGGTCAGCAAAAGGTCTTCCAGCATGCCACAAACTCCTAATCTTTTATATAAATAATTAAGCAGATGGACAACTTAGCAGGTACAGTCATTGCCTTCAAACTACTGATGTGGCCTTACCCATTTGGTGGATAGAGTAGCAACAGTCTTTTCTATCTAAGAAGCACTGTAGGATTCGTTGATATTCTTTGGGTTGTTCTTTTTGTTTCTCCCAGTTCCAGTCTTACGAGAAAAAAAAGATGAGTTAAAAACAGGATGGATTTTTATAACAGTCCATTACCTCTCTGCACTCTTACTGTAACTCTGAGGTTAGAGGACAACAAAGGAATGATATCTAGAAGGAGAGAATGATCAAATTAGAACATTCCTAAGTGTCTTTAATTTTGATGACAAAGACATTTAGAAACTGATTACTGTCAAAGACTGAATGGGTGTAAAGAAAAAGCAAAACAGGAAGTTGACCAAGGAAGTGACTTAGCCCGAGGCTGGAGTTGGGAGAAATATTACCTGAAAACAATGTCACAGAGGCCCTTCTGCTCAGCTATTCAGTGAACAGGAGGTCACCACAAAACCTGCCAGTATATCCGTGTATCACTCAGGCTTCATAATGTCCCACCTCCACACAGACAGCAATGGCTTTGGTCTGTGTATTTTGGCAGCACAGCCAAGAGTGTCATGGGGGAAGTGCTATTCTGACATACCAGAGTTCACAAAAGAATATTCACAATTCGCAACTAAGGAAGCTAAAATATAATTGCATGCTGCCATTTTTATGCAACCTTTAAAAAATGTATGCACTGAGCTTTGAAAAAACAGACATCTTTGCTATCAAGTGTTCAAAGCTTCCTTATAACCAAAACCAGAATAACTACACCTGTGGGGCTCCCATCTGTGCCTCAGGCACAGTCCCCCATATTTTACAGTGGCTACTTCTCGCTTCCTAAGGACAACTGTGAAAAGTCTCCATAACTGCTCGGGACAGAATGCACTACTTCCATCCCTCAGCTTGAAACACTCTCTACTTAGACCAATTTCTGAGGCTCAGTTTGCTTCTAAGACACAAATTTCTCTCCTGGAGTTTTAGAGAGAGTTTGACATCCCAACTGAAATATACTTCAAGCCAAAGGCTGTTATCTCCGGAGTCTTCTGTTCTCTTTGCTTCTATGATTTCCAAAACCAAAGTTTTGAACTTCTCCAGCACAGTCTTCAGAGGGTGAACCACATCCAACTTTTTGTCATTAGCTACCAAATTGTCCAAGTCTGGGGAAATCCTGATTAACTGGCTGCTAAGTACCACTAAATATTTACTGGTGACAGTGATAAGGGAACACCCCAGCTCAACTGTAAAATAACTGAATAGGAAACACTCCAAAATACTTCTTTACAAAATTACATCTTCAAACTCAGCTACAAGATCTATTTTCAAATTCTTTCTGCTACTTGCTTTTGACTCCTGCCCATGGGGTATTTTCAGTTTGCTCTCCACAAAACTCACTTCCAGAAGAAACATCTTGAAGTATTTTATCAATGAGAAAAAGTAAAATCGTAAGAGCAGATCTGCTCCAAGAAGTATGTGCATGGTAGACAAATCACTGGACAAAGAGTAAGAAGACCTGCATTCTTTCCCCAAATCTCTGCTTTCTTGCTGTTTGACCCTCGGTGAGTCACCTTACTTCCTGAGCCTCAGTTTCCTCTTCTGATAAAACAGAAATTATGATACTACCCAGGGGAAGCAGGCACAGGATATCCTAAACCCTGAAAGAATGTATTAAGTCCTAAACCTCCCAGTTCCTTGCCAGTCCTCTCTGATCACAGTAGCAGGACAGTGAGGTTACACAGTGGAGAAAAGGGAGTGATGTTTCCATGCCTCTGAATCTCAAGGAGCAACAGTCAATGAGCTGTTATCATTGAGCTCAATAGCCCAATCTCATCCAAGGTGATTTTTTGCTCTCTAATCCCAAGTCAAACCCAACTTTCACCCAAGTGCCTGAACTGACATGGCTGACATCAGTCTGCAGTTGCCACAGGGAAGCACATGCATGTCTTAGGAAAGAAAGACTCAACACTTCCAACAATGATTACCAGAAGGTTCTTAATGAAGTAGCCTTCTCAAGAAGCTAATTTAAGGATTAATTCATCATCAAATGGACGTCCTCAGTGAACCCAAACCAAAACAGCGCCAGCTCCTTCATTAGGCACCTCCTTTAGGTCGCTTACATCCTTCACCAGGCAGATATTTTAAATGAGGTCAAGAAACAGGCCACCACACCCATCTTCCTGCTCCCTTTGTTATCTGACCTTTTTAAGGATTCGCTCAAACAATAGCAAAGGTGGAAACTCTAAATGATACACTTGCCTCAATGTTCCAGGAAAGTTCCAGGAAAGTAACTGGCTTGGTGAGTCACAAGAAAATGCTGGCTGTTTCCTTCTCATGAGAGGCTTTGTTAACTTCTTGGCCCCAGCAAGGGCGCTTGCAGAGAGCACTTTAGCACCCGCAGCTCTGTTGCAGAGTGTTCCTAAAGCTCAGCACCAGTGCTAGACCATCAGCAGGAAGTGCCACTGCTGCAGGAGTCTCTGAGGTAGTTGAGAGAACCAAATTTAACTCACCCCTTCCCAAATGTCTACAGATAAGGGCTTGAGCCAGCATCATCTGTCCACAGCGTAGCATACATCCCCAGCCAGCATCTGATGAAGGGCCTGTTCCCCCTGTAGACAAAAGGGATGGGAATGAATATGAGTTCCTTAAATTGCCCTTTCCAGAAACATCAGCATAGTTGGGAATTATACAAGCCTCTCTCTCTTTGAAAAGAAAAGCAAGAGATATACCCAGATGTGAAGCAGGGTTTGTTTTGGGGTGGAACTTGGAAAGATAATTCTGAGTTAACCAAAACAAGTTCTATGGCCAAAGACTAAACAAACAAATGAACAAAAGCTGCCCCTTACATTTTCTGCTTAGAGTCTTCTAGGTATGCATGCTATTTTGGCGAATGACTACCAGCACTTAGTCCATGCCATGTCATCATCTGCCTGACCAAACCGAGCCTTCACAGGTCACTTCCCAGGGAAGCTAGCCTTACCTTAGTTCGGGAATAAATGCTACCAAAGGTAATCATCAAAATGGTCAAAGAGATCTGGAAGGCTCTTGACTGTTCTAAATATACATTATGAAGATGTGAACAGCAAGGAGGACAATGTAAAATAGAGGAAAGAGTCCTACATTAGGCATCATAATACTAGTCTCTACTTACCTAATACAAGTCTCATCTACAGAGAGAAGATTGAGGGTAATAGTACATACCCTGCCTACTACCAGCAGACACTGTAAACTAAATGAGACACTACCTGCGAAAAGCATTCCACAACCCACTCAGGCTGCTGTACAATGTAAATATTTGGTGATTTGAGTATGGCCATAATTTTAAATACTATTAATATTTTGAAATGCACTACATATTTAAAAGGCACAGAACCAGTTAATAAATGAAATAAAGCAATGGGTTCCATTTTAAGAGCACTTGATACAAGAAAAATCCCATATATGTGGCCAGGGAAAGCTCAATACACTTTGTCAAAATATCAATAATATCAGATGACTGAGGAGACATTCTGTTTTCATTGCTTCCCTTTCTCAACATGGAAGTAGAAATGGAAATGGAGGCTATAAGCATGATCTCACACGTCTAACTCTAAAAACGGTCGTCAACCTTCTAAGACAAGTGGGCCAACGTGGCTACCCCTTTCCTTTTGCTGTGGGGACTGAAAGAAAGTTGCTAGAGCAAAATAGGGAAGATTGTGCCAACTTGTGAGCTGGAAGGGGAGTCCTTTGGCTCTTGTTAATGGTTGGATTATTGGCCAAATTAGTATGGAAAAGATGCACTGAAGCCCAGATAAAGAAGAGAGAGATCTACTACTGCCAAAACATTGTCAGAGTTGAACTATTTTTTTCAAGCCTTATGAAGATCTCCTCACCCAGAGAAACTGAACCTTTTAGAAGCAGTGGGTACTAAAGACTGTTATAGTTCACAGGATACTTCCTGTAGAGAGCTAAAAAATGTCTGCGTGGACTTGATTTTTGGCACTTATTGAAAAGGTTGATTTCACTCGTTACTAGGTCCAGTCCTGCATCAGAATCGATCAGTTAGGTTTCCTCTTAGGAGAATAGCGTCCACCATTTGAGTTTCGTAACTTTTACTACAGGGCCATGATAATAGGAACAGGTTGGCCTACTTAAAAACATTTTACAAATGTCCTCTAGAGGGAGCCAATTCACTTATTCACTTAGCTTATTGAACTGTCCTTTTTTCTACACAGCAGCTGGTACTCTTTAACAGCCTAAAATTAGTTCCAAGGAAATCTATCATAATTCATTTCCCGGTGCAACATGCTTTTGTTTCATAGGGGAAAAAATCAAAGAAATTATTTTCTTTCCTTCAAGGTACAATTGTCTTTAATAATAAAGTAGCTCCATAAGCAATGGATTATAGTTTAATAGATATTACCCCAAATAAAAGTTTGACTTTTTTCTTTTTATCAGAAGTAAAACAAGTTAATACTGTCAGGGACCTGAGCATTTGGAGGTGGCTCAAGAGTATACTGGCATTATGTATTAACACCATGGAACCAAGTCTGATAAGGTACGTTGGCAGTAAAACTTTTGGATAAAGTATAAACTTAACTACTCCCTTAAATCAAATTCTTCATAGTGAGCTGTTAATTCTGAGGCTCCTGTGGAGTCATCAGTAATATCAGGCAAGCTATCTACAAGGAAGAAAACACAACAGAACAAATGATATACCTACCAATTGGTGAAAATTTCCTTCTGTACGTAAACCATAGACGAGTGCTTATATCAGACAACAGCTTAGATTTTTCTGTAATTAAATGTGAAATTAAAATTAAGTCACCATATCCCATCTAAAGATATCTGCCTTTGATTTCTGAGCGAGCAGCAAACTCATTTTCAAATAACCAGTCAATTCCATTGTTATGGGGCTAGGGAAATTCATAGGAAATCCAATCTCATCTTAGCCAAGTAATTTCAGCATTTTCACCCACCTGCTTTGACCAGAGCTACTAGCTGGTACAATGATGCTGGGTGGCTCCTGTCTCCTCATTGAGCTCTATGCCCTGGCAGGTACTAATACTGGGGTCATGGCCAAATGACAGGAAATAGATAAAGCAAGGATCCTGGATAACCCACTGACAGGGCAATTAGCCCCTGCCTGAATGAGATCTTTCTTAGACTTCTCTTCCCCCTTGCTCAACAACATGTCCATTTTTGTACTCTGTATAGAACTTACAGTCATGGCACTTTAAAAGAAGAAAAGGAAATTCAATTTTAGCCAATAGTTTCTTTTTTTTTTCTGCCTTTCCTTTGAACAGATCAGAAATTTGAGACATCTGGACCTTCCCTCCCCTTCATGTCCCCAGTACCAAGCACATCATGGGAAGTAAATGTACAATGGCTAAGAGTAAGACTTCTGGAGTCAGACTCTGCCTAGGTATAAACCCTGACTCTGCTACTTACCAACCATGTGGCCTTGTCACTTAACCTCTCTGAGCTTCAGTTTCCTCATCTATGAAATGGGGAAAATAACAGTACCTGCTTCACAGGGTTGTGAGTATTCAACAAGATAACATATGGAAAGTGCTTAGATGGTACAGTACGCAATAAGCCTGTGATAAATATTAGCTGTTATTACATACCCTCCTCTCAAATATTCACACCTCTGATATTCTCTATGCCTTCTAGCTTGCCTATATGCTAGGAAGGCTAGGGGAAGGTGTATGGACATTTTAACAATAATTTCCCTTTGAAAGACATATCCCAGCTAACATATAAACATGGGCATATTTGGCAACCTGAGGATTCCTGTTGTCATGGAACACAGAACTAGAAGAGATCATTTCCAGTCCCCCTCATTTTAAGTACTGGTGAAGGAAGTTAAGATCCAGAAAGAGAAAGTGACTTATGTAAGGTAGGAGATGAGGCCGAATACAAAAGGTCTCTTGATTGCTACCTGGGGTGTCTCCACTATTCAGGATTCTCTAGTCAAAACGCTGAAGCCAGAATCAAGAGAAGCTAGAAGATACTAACTTCCTCTCCTACATTCTGATCAGCTTCCTGCCCCTTCTTCCATGCCCAGGCCTCCGAAAAGGATCTCTCCTCAGACAGATGCAAAAACCAAAGCTGCCTTTCTCCAAGCTTGGGCTCTACCTGGGTACTGGGTCGTCAGCAGTTTCAGGTTAGGAGATCTTTCCCAATCCAGAAGAATGTAAGGGTAAGGAAGAAAGCTTCCAGCCTCCTTTCCAGCCAGCTACAATGGCTAAAAGTTCTACACAAAATCAGAATAAACTGAGATAGTGTTATAGTCAAGCAAAAGATCTAAAACTATGAGCCTTCCTTCTCAGTGTCTGATATTGTTTCTGATGCCATGGGCTGTTTAAAAGTTCCCTGGGTGGCAGCGTTTTTAATCTAGACAGAAAAGGATATGAGAGGGATGAAGTACATAGCCAGTCATCAAAGTCTAGATACTGGCTAGTGGTACAAGGAGTGGGTCCATGTTGTTTGAAACCTGAAGCTTATAGAATTAAAGGCTTCTCCTATAAGGAAAAGAGTAAAGATGATGACTTTTTCAAAGCGTATAAGCACATATGAGCATGTGAACACACTGCTCGGGCACACTCGCAGGGCCTTGGAAGGGACCTGTTCAAGCAAGGGGCCTGTGGCTTAAACTTTGGCTGCAAGGTAAATTCACTGAGAAGTAGCATTAATAGCTATCAAAGTAACACTCTGCCAACCCAAGGAGGAATAAAAGATAGGATCTTAACCTCAGGCACCCACCTCATTTGGGTTCTCAGACAAATGCTGCCAACCCTTACCTGTTTTAAGAAGATGAGGTTTCCCCAAGATCCATACCAGCTCATCTGTATCTGGAAATTCTTCTAAGTAGTCAGCATAAATAGTAATCTGGTTTTCATACTTGGATAAAACTGAAAGAAAAGGAAAGAAACTTAAGCAAAATCTAATAGAGGGGACTTGCTTCTATGGCATACTTTTTATTACCTTTGTCCTGAAGGAGAAGGGCCATAGGTTCAAATCTAAAGTAGGCAAACGCTTGTCCTTGAGGAACAAAGACAACTCACAAGGCTACAAAATCTTTCAGTACAGGGCTTTCCTCGTGACCACCTATTTTAACCTTCCCTTTTTCATGGTCCATTTGGCATGATCTGTAAATAATTATTTGGTCACAGTTATTTCAACACCTTTTTTTCATGGGGCCCTCTTTGTAAATAGCCACTTATCGAGCTTCTAGTGTGAGTGTCTGAATGTGATACAATACTGAGGGCATACCCGACTGCTGCCCACATCACAGAGAATACTGTGAAGTTTCTAGAAGCTAGTGTCTTAGAAGGGGCTATAACAAGCCTGAAAGATTTTCTAACTGTGAAAATGTAGTACTTTAGCTAGAAGATCAGCTGCTTTAACAGTATGTTTGCCATTTTATTTACATATTGACTTCTGCAAAGAAGGATCCTGAAGTGACAATAAATACAACTTGCTCTTGGGATTCACAAATCACTATGGTTCTCTCTCAAAGTAACTGAACCAAATATAATTAAACCCCATAAGTTCACAGACCACACTCTCAGAACTTAGCACTATGTAAAGTGAGATGAATTAAAATTCATTCTTCTACCTCCTGTGGGGAAAGGGTCTGCTATAAGAGGCAAGTCTTGAGACTTATGAAGGGATCCTGTCTCAAAAGTTCTCTTTAGGTAATTATCTGAGGGAAATTATAGTGTAGTTAGTAAACAAGTTTCAAAGTCCACAAAAACCTATTTTTACCTATTTAAACCTATTTTTATAAACAAAAAAATCAAATTGATAGTATATTCCATATTCTATGGTGCCCTATGAGAAACCATATCTCAAGTTCAAAGCTAAAAGCTAAGACATACAACACACCCCTTCTCTTCTCAGCTCTTGGAGTCTCCCCAGCCCCTGTGGGGAGAGGAGCTCAGAGAGAGGAGGTCGTTTTTTTGCAGCTACAAGTAGCTGCAGGGACTCTCCCAAAGCTAAGTAGCTAAGAGCCCCATGGGAATAGTTTTCCTGTAAAAATAGCATTGTGGGATATGCTGAACTCACTTGAAAGGACTAACTGTTTTCTTTTGGCTTTGTTTTTTAAGGCAAGAGCATGCTATTTTCATAGAAATAAATGTTCCTAAATATACATGAGTGGGATCTGATCATAAAAATACTTGGTTGGAGGATGAAGTTATACTTTGTGTAATTTGTACAAACTGAAATTATAATTGTTTGAAGTTATAATTTTAGAAAAACAGCTACCCAGAGATACTGTCTTCTTGAGAGATATTATAGAAGTCTAATCTTTCAGGGATTTAAGTCACTTTTCTCCTCAAATGTTTTAATCACTGAGTTAACAATCTCAGCAGTATTTCAAAACCAAGGAATTTAGAAATGAGACATTCATTTTGTTCTCCAGTAAAAACTCACCACAGCCAAATTTGCCAGGGAGCCTATGCCATCTTAGCCTTTCTGCCACTGGCCTTAGCCTCTGGCCCCTGCCCAGGAAATACCAGGCTAAAAATGATCGCCCAGGTCAGGCCATCCCCAGTAGGTGGGGGGGCTGAGGTGGTGTAAATCACACTGTGTACCTTCCCACCCTATTCTCTCCCTCATAGGCAAGAGAAATCAGGTTAAAATGAACATCCAGTGTAACCTAGAAAGAAAGACAGAAAATAAGTAGACTGAAAGGAGTGTGAGAAAGGGGCAGCCTCTCTGGCATTCCCCTGGTAGGGGTGAGGAAGGGTAGCACTGGATGAATGTACAGCATGTATGCACATAAGCCTTGGGTCTTTTTTAGTACTGGCTGAAAAAAACATTTCTCTCTCACCAACCCTGTCTCAGTGAGTCACTGCCTAGCTATCTGGTCAAATCAGTACAGCCCCTTAAAGCCAGGAGAGAACTCTGCTGCTTCATTTGGGATGGCTCTGACCAAAATGGTAGCCAAAGAGTTTCCTCTCACTTTTCAGCCCCTCTCATGGCAGCAGAAGGTCATTACAGTCTCTATTCTTCCTGATTCTCCTCTTGGAAGATAGACTCCCAGAATACATTGTGTCAGGCCCAAGCCAGCCTGAGTCAAAGCTACATGGATGAAACAAATAAAAGTCAGAAAAGAAGATGAAACTGACAGAGGCAAAGAGCAGTTACAAGGGGAGAGTGTATGTAAAGGGGTCTGGGGAGGAAAGGGAAATAGGTCTTACACAAGGAGAACTCAGAGCAATGAGAAGCAAACTGGGATGTGTTTGAAGTGCAGAAGTGAAATCACATTTCCAACAAAATCACTTTTTAACTACAGCAACTCTTTTTTTAATTGAAGTATAGGTGATACACAATCTTATAGTGGTTTCAGGTATACAATAAAGTGTTTCAACAGTTACCCATATTATTAAATCCTCACCCCCACTAGTGTGGTTACTATCTGTCATCATAGGAAGATGTTACAGAATCATTGACGATATTCTCCATGCTATGTACAGCAACTCTTAAAAAATTTTTTTTCATAAACTACTTTTGGCTTGTCTTAAAATTAACAAACAAGACATCAGTCACATTTGTGTTCCCTGTCCTTTCAGCCTGTTTGAAAAGATAGGGGCTATACAGGCAGAGTTACAAATACTGTAGTTTGGTGGACCAAGAGTTAGCTTCCCCAGGGTCTGATAGACAACAGGCTTCACCGAGTTCCATTTTAGTTTAATAATTATTGCACTGAAGTCTCTGCTAGGTTGGTTAGCTTAGCAGTCAGCTAAGAATTGAACAAAAATTTCCTTAAATTCCTGGAACCAAAAATTCTCCCAGTCTTGACCAAGGGACTCTGTGTACATGTTGGGGCATGCCTCCAACCCTCAGCCAGGTGGTCGAGAACTCTACCTTAATCTTCCCTTTCTGCTTGTAAAGAGCTCAAGATCAGCCAGAGTGAAAGTTAAGGATCTTCTCAGGCCTTTCCCGAGCATGCATACAGCCCTGAGAATGCACATACCCCCAGGCATGCATGTGGTCTTCTAGATTCCTAGGAACATGCCTGAAATTTTCAAAGCCACAATGGGCATGTTATTCCTCAGCTTTTCCTTTAATGACTTTTGGTTATCTACTGCCTCAGGCAGCTGTGATACTAATCAATTACCTCTAGTGGTTTTCAAAAAGGCAGCTGGGGAAACGCTTTCTGCTCCAAGTCAGGGCAAATAAATACAGTCTTGCAAGTGGGGTCTTCTGGGGAACCACCAGAGAGATCAAATAATGACAGTTCTTTAGAAATGAGGCTTTACAGGAACTCCAAGCCATTCTGTGCTCTCCAGTGGCTATAGGCTTCTGGCTTTCCCTGTGTTTGCAGGCTGGATTTTCAAGGCTACTGTCGGGCCAGAGAGCGAGGAGCAAAGGGCAAGCGAAAACAGCACAAAGCTCACTATTCTTACCAAAATGCAGCCATTTTTCTTGTTGCAAGCTGCTGGTTAATTTCAAGAACTCTGAAGAGTCAATTGTAATCATTTTTGCCAGGTTTTCAAAAACTGCTATTATGGAAACAGAATTTTCAGAAGTCCTCACTGTGCCATTTTTGCTGATGGCTTACGTTAATTATATGCTTTCCAGTGACTGACTATATTTCTAAGGGTTATTTTGTAAAACTGCAAGCAAATGAAGAAAATCACTTTGAACAACAAATTTTCTGATAGGGCTTAACAAAGACACTTGTACATCAAGGATCCTGGATTCCCAGGGGCTTGTGCCCCACAAACACCACAAACTCTCTGAGGGGAAATCAAAAGGCCACAGAATCTCAGGGCCAGAAGGAGATCTTCCTTATAGGTCACCCAATTCTAAAAGCATGTCAGGATACTGCTGGTACCAAAACAGTCTTCTCAGTAATACATACATATTTAACACACTGTCAGGTCACAGCTCCAAAAACATAAGAAAATGTCCATGGAAGATAGGTATGGTAAGTGCTGAATATTCATCAATATATTCATTCCATAAACTTTTACAGAGTACTTACTATGTGCTAAGCACAGGGGATAGAAGATCACTGAAATGTAGTCTCCATCCTCCAAAAGCTTTTAATCTAGTGGAGAGGATAGGTCTGGAAAAAACTAACTCCGGTAAGTAGTATAAAAAAGGAAAGTGATGTAATGTACAGCATAGGGAATATAGTCAATAATATTGTAGTAACTTTGTGTAGTGACAGATGGTAACCAGACCTATTGAGGTGATCATTTCATAATGTATAAAAATATCAAACCCCTTTTGTATACCTGAAACTAATAGAATATTGCATGTGAATTACAATTCAATAAAAAAAGGAAAGTGGTGTGGAAGGTAGCAAGTGATTAATTCCAAATGGAGGTGAATGGACCTTCCACAACCTAGAAAAGGTGGCATCGGAACTGAGCCTTAATGAAAATTAGATATAAGTGGTAAGGGGGAAGGGAGGAAATTCCTGGTTGAGGGAACAGCAAAAGGATTTGGCAAGTGACTGAGTGTGCAGTGGGGCTGGGGAGAGTGAGAGAGAGAGTCAAAAATAACTTGCAGTTTTCAAGTATAGGTGAAGAAATGGTAGCAGAAAAATATGGTGGTGTGTGTGTTGCTGGTGGTGGTGAGTTGGTCCAGCCAGAACATATTGGACTCATGAGTTTAGCTGACAAAGGAAGAAGAGGTTAAAAAAAAAAGTGAAGAGGAAGTCAACCTGCACAGGGATTGTGAAGAGGGGCATGACAGATAGCAGGTTGATTAGCAGAGTCTAGGAAGGTAGGAGGAATCCAGAACAAAGTTCAGCCTAAAATGTGCCCTAACCCCCCTCCTTCTGGGTCCCCTTAGTGTCCTGGTCTTTCCAGTCTCTGCTCACCTGTGCACAGAACCTGCCCCACCTTCATTTTTCTCCCTCCTTGGTTTTCTGACAATCAGGAAGTAAGAAAATAGATAACTGGACAACAGTTCTTAACATTTCAAGGGGGATTTTTCGGGTCCCAAACTGCAAGTTTTCTTGAATTAATTCAGCAAGTCACACCCT